ATTTTGAAGTTTCTGATCTATTTCTTCGGATAAGTTGGTGGAATATTTGGTCATTTGGATTTTCTTCAAGTTTTTGAATGAATTGTTCTTTTTCTAATGCAGTTTCTTTTCTCTGTTGTTTTCTGAGATTTCTTTTGGCTTCCTTTTTTTCTTTAAAGAGAAGATGGTCGTCTCGTGGTCTTCCTGCATCATTCCAGAGTCTATGTTTGTTTTTGCTAATTCCAATCAGTCTTTTAACATCAGGGGAAGCTTTTCTTTTGGGTCCATTTAGTTTGATAATTCTTGATGGTACTGCTAGTTTGGTAGCTTTGTGTAGAATTCCCATGACACATTTTAGCTTATCATCAGCAGTAGTTTCATCGGATGAAAGGTATTAAAGATGTTTATCAATCTCATTTATGTATATGTGTTTATCCATTTCTTCCCATATTAATTTATATGCTACTGAATTTGTTTTAGATTTACTGTTCTTCTTTATTTCTAGATACAGATTTGTACATGTTTTTACTGGTACATGGGTTGATGTGTTTACTGGATCTTGACTGTATATATTGGTTGATAGTAAGATGTCATTGTTAGACAGAATATAGTCAATTTGAGAAGTATCTTTTCCATCTGTGTGAAAATATGTCGGTTTGGATTGGATATCTCGAGTTGGCTTTAATCCATTAACAGAAGTAAATTGTTTGAGACTAATATCATGCTTGTTGTTTCTTGTTGATATTAATAACCCATTTAGATCTCCACATAAGATGATATTGTGTGATTGATCATATTTGCTCTTGATGTTAAATATGATGTCAAGGCATTCAAATGTTTGGCTTTGAGCGTTCCTGATGAAGGTAAATCCAGAAATGCGCTTCGGACGCATGACATTATTAAACGTGTTGTTTTCAATTTTTTATATTCATCCAAAGATTGTGCTGCATTTGTTGGCATGTAGGCATTTATGAGGCAGGTTGGTTAAGGTACTGACATGATCTCTATTGCTATAATTCTTTCATCCTCCGACTCGTACGCAAATTAATACACAATGTTGGAATGTTGTCAATGGTGCATTGTGCATGCCCCAATGTCAAGAAACTCATTTTTGATATGTATGGTCATGTATGAGGATCATGAAATTAGACATAGTTTTTTATTGTGTCATCTCTATTTTTCCCTGTCCTCGAGAACACCTTACTTTGTATGGTCAAGTGGATAACGTACATATTTTAAGGTGACCTGGAAAACGCATTAAGTACATGTAATATTGTTTAGAGGAGGGAGTGTATCTCTCTGACATTGTCAGCATCCCTTCTTTTTAAATTTGTAGAAGATCGCCAAATACTTAGAGGAAACAGATACCCACATGTGAAGGCATAAGACAAGAAAACTAATGAACCTGTGTACATATATCTGGCCTTAAATATTTGTCTAAGTTTTGCTATAAAATATAATATAATATGTACAGAATTAATAGAAATCCATCAAGTGTCTTGGTTTTTTAACAGTTCTCCCACGTCTCGTCCTTTCACAGCTCAGTACAGTCAGTACAATTTCCTCTTCCTCAAACGTCTCGCTAACTTTTTCATTGATCGTCATTGTATCAGTCTGAAGAGAGCTGGTCAGCCTATTGTAAATCTCCTCATCTAGTGTATATACAACCTGACCAGGTAACAAAGGGGGTATTACACTTTCTAATATACAATTACGTGGTATATCTCTTTGCATGTCTTTATGAAATTCAAGGATTTCAAAGAATTGTCCATTTATTAGAACATTTAGTATCCAGTTTTTTCGTTTTTTTACCTCTTTATTTTTTTTTCAACATTAAAGTTCGTCTCCCTTTGATAGTTCTCCCTCCTTTCTCCCGCCCTTTCTCTCCTTTCTCCCGCCCCCTTTCGCCTTTCTCTCTGTCTCCCAATACCCTTTCCACCTACTCATATATGAACAATTCACTTTCATGAAAATTGCTCAAAGCATTTTTGAGTTATAGTCAGAAAACTGGAAAATACCCCATTTATTTATGAATAAAATCCCATAACTCGGAAAAGTAAAATCTAAAATTTATTAAAATCGAAAGGGAGCTTATGTCAATAGATATGAAAAATTCACCAAAGTTTTATGAAAATTGGTGAAAGTGTTTTTGAGTTATTGTCTGAAGTGTTGACGACGTACGGATGGACAGACGGACATTGGTATACCATGACGAAATTATAAAAATAATATATGTCTTAAGACGAAAGTATAAAAATGAATAATGGACGTACTTCAGCGGCTGAGCGGTATATGAAGACTTTTAGTGCTCAGTGGCGTAGCCACTAGGAAATAAATTATAAGCAGGGGATCTAAGAAAAGCTGAACGATTATAGTAAAATTCTTAGTGAAAATAAAAATGTTTATAAAATTATTAGTAAGCACATGCTTACAATGCTACACTGGTGCTACGCTACTGAAGTTGTATCTTTATTAAGGTCTTTCTTTTCTTAATGGAAAGACCTTACTGTTATTCGTTTGTTTATTATTCTTTTTCCTCGTCCGTTTTCAAAGTCAAAAATCAAAAAAAGTACGCCATATATCCAAATGATCTTTGGTACCAGGTATCAGGTTAATAAAATCTGTCTTGTATTAGGGAAACCAAATTGTACTATTTTCTTTATAGGAGTTATCTCCCCAATTACAAAAAAACATTTTTATCGCTACTCTTCATAAACTATAAGAGTTAACGGCAAATAGTTTTTTTTTAAATGTTCCTTGTCACATGTCACAACTTTAAATAATTTTAACCGAAGCGATCCAGTGACCTCTTATAGGAGTTATTTCCCCTCGAATATTTTACTTTTGGATATGCATAAGAATCTCATAAACCGTAAGTTGTAAAAACCTAGTTTTTTTTTTATTTGAGATCATTGGACCATAACTTGAAAATATAGGTCAAGGTCAGAGGTCAAGGTCATATTTTAGATTTTGATATGTCTTTGATTTCCCGATAATTCTCGAATGGTTATAGATACAGAAAATTTAAATAGTGATAAAAGTTTGGTACTTCAAGGGGCAACTTTATCAAATTATAACTGTATTGATTTTACCATTATATAAGAGACATAACTCCCATTGACGGTTTGCTAAAAGACATTATTAGGCAAATCTATTTAACAAAAGGTCCTAGACCCATAAGGTCTTTTGCAATGACATTGTAGACTAATGACCTTGACCAAGGTCACAAGGTCAAAGGTCAAGGTCATGTCGAAAAAGGCAAACTGTTTGTTTTTGATCCTATTCAAATGGTTTTATGTGTGTTTCAATGCTTTTGTAGGTTGACATTGACTTTTGACCTCACTTCTTGTTAAGGGATCATCTCTCAAAGGCTAGATCCCATATGTTTAGATATAGTATCTAGGCTTTCAATTCCGTTTTTGCAATGGGCTCGGTTCCATGTGTTCAATCAATAAACCAACCAACCAACCATACATCCAATCAATCAATCAATCAATCATTGCATGCATGTTTCCGTCTCATGTGTTTAATGTGGGTTCCAAGATATCCTTTGTTTCTTTTTCGCTTGTTTCAAGAGACCCTGTCCCATGTGTGTAATCAATCAATCAATCAATCAATCAATCAATCAATCAATCAATCAATCAATCAATCAAACAATCAACCAACCAACCAACCAACCAATCATTGCATGCATGTTTCCGTCTCATGTGTTTAAAACGGGGTTCAAGATCTCATTTGTTTCTTTTTCGGTTGTTTCACGAGACCCTATCGCATGTGTTTAATCAATCAATCAATCAATCGATCAATTATTCATTGAATTAATGTTTCCGTCTCGTGTGTTTAATACGGGGTCAAAGATCTCATTTATTTCCTTTTCGTTTGTTTCAAGAGACCCTATCCGACGTGTTTAATCAATCAACCAACCAACCAACCAACCAATCAATCAATTAATCAATAAACTAACCAACCAACCAACCAATCATTGCATGCATGTTTCTGTCTCATGTGTTTAATACGGGGTCCAAGATCTCCTTTGTTTCTTTTTCGCTTGTTTCAAGAGACCCTATCCAACGTGTTTTATAAATCAACCAACCAACCAACCAATCAATCAAGAATTAATCAACCAACCAACCAACCAACCAATCAATCATTCATTCATTGCATGCATGTTTCCGTCTCGTGTGTTTAATACGGAGTCCAAGATCTCCTTTGTTTCTTTTTCGCTTGTTTCAAGAGACCATATCCCACGTGTTTAATCAATCGATCAACCAACCAACCTATCAATCAATCAATCAATCAATAAACTAACCAAGCAACCAACCAATCATTGCATGCATGTATTTATGACAGTATATTTTAAAAAATATGGATGGAAAGACCTCTCAATTATTCAAGAAGAATTGAATTTTAATTTGACATGTTGTTTTTTATATTGTTCTGTCTTGATACTATTAAAATTTATCCTTCTACTATGAATCATTTTCTGTTGCCACAATGGGCAATGATAATTTCATTTTTTACTACAACGGGTAAACAATCTTTTGTTTTTTGTGAAATATGAGAAGATTTTTGACCATGGTAACTGATGTATTTCATTTGGAACATAAACTCCTTATCTGTTGCATAATTGTTCTCCTATTTTGTGGGTTTGTTGCATGCTTGTCAACTTTTTACAAGTATGATATAGTACATCAACTGTTTTTACTACAGGTATGGTACAGTACACCAACTGTTTTTACTACAGGTATGGTATAGTACATCATTTTTTTTGTTTCGCCGGATTTGTTTCATCTGACATAAATTCAAAATCTGATCAACTTATTACGAATTCAGTTATTTTATTTTTATCATTTTCGCAGTCTTATCATGACTAGCGTGAGGGCAAAGAAAACAATTGACCGTGTATAGTCAATCTCAAGTGTATATACTTATATCCAATGATAGACCACACATTTAAAGGGAATTTGGAGAGTTCAACAAATACATTTCGTGCTTTCTTATCAAATACTTTAATAATGATAAAACATAGTCTATACTTTAGAAGGCACATTATTTTAAAGATAAAGTTGTCAGTAATAACGGTTTTTTAAACCACACAATCATAACACGTGTTTACAGAGAAACTACACAAACTTTGAAAACCTATCCTCTGACCTTTTGTGGTTAAATAACAAATGGAAATTATTACCAGTACGGTGATGGACAAATTAAGCATAGATAATAGAGCAACTGCTCCGACATGATAAATGCAGATTCAACGGCAATGGATTTTATGGTGTTTATTTTTAAAACTTACATTTGTTTACATTATCTTGACAGTATTACACATGCATATAATTTTGATAAAAAGAATGTGATGCTTTTCAAAGGACCTAAAGGAAGTTATTTTGGATATTCTGTTGGAATACTGGAAAACAAGAACGGAATCATGTAAGTTTAAACGGTTTTACTTCAATCTTAATTGACTAGGATTGTCAGTTTTCCTAAGGTATGTGGTTCTCTCTAGGCACTCTGGCTTCCTCAACCAATAAAAACTAACTCTACAAAATAGCACAATAGTGCTGAAAGTGGCGTTAAACACCAATCAATCAATCAATATAACATTTTAGGATTGCTAAGGGTAATGGACCAATACGAGATACAAACAACATTTTGTGGCTACTATTCATTGGAGAGTAAAGTTTTATATATCATTTAGTTGATCTATAATACTCTTGATAGTTTGCACTTTTTATGTATTTTGTCAGACTGAATAACAAGTTTACCAGGGGTACGGGGTTATATAAGAAATATGATAAAATAGTTTTACCTAACAAAAATCAGATCGCAATAGATTACGGGAGGTTCTTCTTCATTTTATGATTTTAAAAAAATTGTATTTCATCTTGAGGCATGTCATTTTTGGCCATTCGATTTCGAATATTGTACAATAACGTATGAAATATGCATAATATCAAAATTATCTTTTTTACATGCGTAAATTATTAACAGTTTATAGTAGTGATATTTTGACTTGTATATGGTTAAACAGATGTGTAAACTTTTAGATGATTCACGCAAATTAGAGCAATGCAAATCATATTTAATTACATATAATTCGTGTTATTTGTAAATCTTGGTACAAAAAGTCTAGGCCATTGTGTCATATAGACATATTATACACGCTCCTTTCATATAGGCTTTAATGTCAAGATCCGAGACTGATTATCACGAGGTTCATTGAAGGGTTTTCGTTACTTTGTTTTATTGAGTGTAGAAAAATATAAAAGAAGGGCGGTGGTGGTTTCACATGTCGGAGAAAACCCGTCAAAAGGTGTACTCTTCCCAAAAATGAGTAACCATCCCCCAATTGAGTGTTAAAATTATATTCTTTTTGTTGCCGAGTCTTTTTACTTAAAATGGCACAAATGTATAGAAAAATGGAACAATTTTCCCGAAAAAAACCCATTTAATTATTTTGGGCATAGGCTTGTAACTTAATTATCAGTTTAGGACTATTCGTCTTTGAAGAATGAATTAATATATTTTCATCAAAAGATGTCATTTCGACTAAAAATTCGGGATTACATTTTTTTTAACAAATAAGTAATTTGATTTTCTTTGTTGTCTATTATACCGGTACTACATATGCACAACTGAGCTTCTTGAATGTGAACTTAAAGTTCTTACAATCTAAATTTTTCTCGTTTATTCTGAGCTGAACGACGATTCCTTCAAAGTTAAGATATTGAAAATTTTGAATAACAAACTGGTTAAACAGGTTTGTCAGTTATTTTTTAAGCTATTTCAGTTGGTAGAAAACACACGAGTCATAAATAATAAGTTTCACCCGGCAAGCAAGAAAAAATGCATAATTCTGTGAATATTCCGATTATGTGCTGTACGTGCCTTTTCTTACCTAAATTTTATATGCCCGTCGAAAACGTTAGTTCTACAGGACTTTAGCCATTGATAAGTTAAGCGATTTTTCACATATCGCTCACTAACTCCAGTATGCCTGGATTCGTTTCTTGAAAACTTTACATTATTGTTGGGATTGATAAAAGGAAGCTCACTTTCGATTATTTTTTTAATTTTAAGAGTTATGGGACTTTAACTGTCAGATTTAAGTAAGTTTTCATATGTTGTACCATAGCTTGAGTTTTCTAGGATTAATTTACTGGAAACTTTACAAAATTTAGGATAAGGTGAATACTAGTATAGGCCCATGCTTATACAACTGAACACCAATTAACATTGGCCTACCACTAATGGTTCCCCTTGAACTGACCTAATCACGAACTAATACATGTTAACTTAGCAAAATTTTCAGTCTATAGACCATGACTAAGGGGGCAGAGCCAAATAATCTCCATGGAAATGAGATATGCCAATGCTTATACAACTGCATATCAAATATCATTGACCTACCACTAGTGGTTCCCCATAAATTGACCTAATCACAAACTAATACATGTAAACTATGAAAAGTTTCAAAGTCAATAGACCTTGACTGAGGGGGCGGGGCCAAATAATCTCCATGGTAATGAGAAGTGCCAATGTTAATACAACTGCATACCAAATATCATTGACCTACCACTGGTGGTTCACCATGAACTAGACCTAATCACAAACTAATACATTGTTGACGCCGCCGCCGGAAACAGCATACCTATGTCTCGCTTTTTGACTCCGTCAAGGCGAGACAAAAACTGAACGCCACGAAATAGCTAAAGTGGCGTTAAACACCAATCAATCAATCGGAAAGAAGGTGCACATTTTCAATGTTTATTCAATTCAATTGAAGGTTTTAAGACTTTGGAAACCGTTGGAGGGGGGAGCGTCTTCTTACCACAGAACACCACAGAATACCACAGAACACCAAAAATATACCACAGAACTTCGAATTATAAATACTTCAGACATTAAATTATTGTTATTGTTAATTCTTTTTATAATTTGACATTTATTATTCAAATAAATTCATTTTTTCTATTTAGGGTCGACTCACTATCGCTACGCCCCCAACTGAATTGGCCTATTATTGGGTCTATACCAAGAACACCTACCTGTATTAAAACCATAATATACAAAAAATATTTAAAGTCACAACAATTGTAATTCTGGGGTATATTTGTGACATTTACTTTTTTTTAAATACATTTTAATTTTTTCTTATTATTTTTTTTCTTCCATTTTTTAGAATGTTTAGATGCATAACGTAATTATATTTTAAATCTATTTTGTATATACCAGAACATATCGTTTTTGTAGTTGTCATTTTTGTTTAATTTTATCATAGATATAATGGATATTATATCTATGATTTTATGTTAAGAGTTGTTACAATAAGTACCGTATATCGTCAGGTTTATCGGAATTCCTATGGGTACTAACTGTGCACCACTTACTGCGGACCTGTTTCTGTATTGTTATGAGTTACAATTTATGACTAAAATCAGCAAAGACCCATCGAAACAAAATCTGATTCAAAAATTTAATAACTTTTAGATATTTAGATGATATATTGGCTCTCAATAATGACGACTTCAGTATGTACACTAAAGAGATTTATCCTGCCGAACTGACTTTAAATAAAGCTAATACTAACAATGATCACTGCCCTTTCCTGGATCTTGATATCTTGATCTTTAACGGGAAGCTTTATACCAAAATTTATGATAAAAGAGATCCTATTGTTAATTATCCATTTTTAGATGGTGACGTTCCCTTGTCGCCATCTTATGGTATTTATATATCTCAACTTGTTCAATTCGCTCGTGTATGTAACAACGTATTTGATTTCAACGAAAGAAATCTCTGTATTACTGAAAAATTATTACACCAGGGTTTTCGATATCACAAACTAGTCAAAACATTTACTAAATTTTATCATCGCTACAAGGACATCATTCGTAAATATAAATCAACATGCAGCCATCTTATACGTCCAGGTATTTCGCATCCAATATTTTATGGTAATATTCTTTACAAAGCACAAAAATGTCGGCATTCACCTCAAAAGCTAACCAATCATTTAAACAGACTTATTCGGAAAGGATATAGTTACGATACTGTTGTCATGTCATTAAGGATTGCATATTTTGGTATTAATATTGATTCACTCATAGGGTCTTTTCATCGGAAATAAACACATTTATTTTAAAACCAGTTGTTGGCATGATACGGGTTATGTTCTTCTCATATATTTTATGATGGTATGATACTAAATCCCTAACAGGAGGGATTGTACTTGATTTTCATATGATGAGGACATAATCTTTCAATCAGTTTAATTGAGGTGTGGAGCTGGCATGTCAGTAACTGCTAGTAGTCCTTTGTTCATTTATGTATCATTGTCATTTTGCTTAGTTTCTTTTGTTACTTATTCTGACATCGGACTCGGACTTCTTTTAAACTGATTTTTACTGTGCGTATTGCTATGTGTTTCTTTATTCTACATTGGCTAGAGGTATAGGGGGAGTGTTGAGATCTCACAAAACATGTTTAACCCCGCCGCATTTTTGCGCCTGTCCCAAGTCAGGAGACTCTGGCCTTTGTTAGTCTTGTATGTTTTTTAATTTTAGTTCATTTATATGTTTTGGAGTTTAGTGTGACGTCCATTTTCACTGAACTAGTACACAATTTTATTTAGGGGCCAGCTGAGGACCACCTCCGGGTGCGGGATTTTCTCGCTGCGTTGAAGACCCATTGGCGGCCTTCGGCTGTTGTCTGCTCTTTGGTCGGGTTGTTGTCTCTTTGACATATTCCCCATTTCCATTCTCAATTTTACATGTATATTATTAAATATTGAATAATATATAAAGCAGTCCTTTAAGGGCTACCAAATAATTTCAACAAGCTATTTGAAGTTGTTGGACAGTTATTTGAGTAGACTAATAAAATATTACAAGTGTGTCTTCATATGGGCAGACATTATGAGTAAAAAACACAAGTGTATAAAAAATTGGAATTTTTATGTAACGAAAACATTTTCTGAGTGTAATGCAGAACATTTGTGTAACATTACAGAATATGTTCATAGTACTTCAGTTGTCAATACTATTATGTCTAAAATATTTAGTAAATATGTTGAACAGTGGTAGTGCAATTTACAGTCAGAGAAAGCTTTATCTCGTAAAGGTGGTAACAAACTTCGAACGTATAATTTATTTACGGACAGTTTTGAAACGGAAACTTATTGTACAATTCCAATGTCATTTTCATCGTGTCCTTTATATGACGATTTTAGAAAAAAATTATTTGATGAAGCAACACATTTGATAGTGATTTTATGTCTTTTGATGATAAACAGACATTAGTGTTTTTATTTACAGATGTTAATATGATTCGTAGCTGTGCCAAAGCCTTTTATTAGAACTTTTTTTATATTTTCTACTATTAATATTTTCAAACTGTACATTGATGGTTAGGTTTTATGGATATTTACCTGAAGTTAATTAGCATTATGTTTTGACAATCTAATCTGATGAATCCCTTGTTTATTCAACTATTCCTTCTATTCCTTCGTGGATTTCTTACAAATGACATACAAGATTTAAGAAGGAATAAACCATTTAATTGAATTATACCTTGCATAATCAGATGGCAATTAGAATTCAATCAATTGACAATTTTGTATAGAAAAACTTTTTACAATAAATTGTTTTTAAAAGATTTTTTATAAAATATAGTTTAGTATCTAAAAGGTCTCCAAATATAAAAAAAATCTTTTTTTGTATGAGTTTTTGAACTTAGGAATCTAGTGAGATTTTGTTTGCCCAGTCACTTTTAAACATGTGCACAAAAGTTGACCATACCATAAACTAACAAAGTTTGAAAAACTCTGTAAAGAACACTTTGCTATCATACTGTTTTGAAAGTTATACATAGGTTTGTTTTAGATGTAAAATTGAGATGTACATTTATTGAGAATCTTCATATTTGGACTTATGATTGATGAATCAAACCACCATCAGGTCTACTGATATTATCTGGGATAATGTGAGCTGATACTACTAGAAAATTGTTTCAATGATAACCTCACAAAACGCCCTTAAAAACTGTTTGTGAATACTTATATAAATAGTTGATTATTTTGAAATTTATTAACAGAATTGGGAGAACAAACTTACTCTTAATAGTGTAATTGGCGCCGGTAAAATTCGTCATGTCAACTTTTTCTTTTTTTTTTAATAGAAAAAGCTTTTTTTTTTAATAGAAAAACATTTTTTTTTTATAGAAAAAGCATTTTTTTTTATAGAAAAACATTATTTTATAGTAACATTTATTTATAGAAAAACATTTATTTATAGAAATCATTTTTTTTTATAGAAAAACTATTTTTTACAAATAAATTGTTTTTAAAAGATTTAAAAAAAAATATAGTTTAGTATCTCAAAGGTCTCCAAATATAAAAAAATCTACCAAATAACAAAAAAAGTTATGATCATTAAAGAAATGTATATCTCATCCGGTCAATCGTCCTGTCATTAGTGTAGCCCGAATTATAAAAATAATATAATTCTGAATTATTAGTTTTGCATTTTGTAAATTAATTCAATGTTCTGTGGTATATTTTAGTAGCTTTATTGTATTTTGTGTAGTTCTGTGGTATATTTTGGGTGTTCTGTGGTGTTCTGTGGTATTCTGTGGTAAAAAGACGCTCCGTTGGAGGGGTTGAATATACGAGTATCTTCAATCGAGAATGATGCAGAAAATAGACAAAATTTCCCCATTAGAAAAATATGCACAAATCATCAAAAAGTATACAATGCTGGGGTGCACTTTTTCAAGGTATATCTACACTGTTTGACCGTTTAGGTTGAAGCTGAAGGAAACAAGTATCCTTTTGTTCCATCCCGTTGTCCATCGTACATTAAACAATGATAGTGCACACGCTGAAATGTCTCGCTTTCTTTACTAACCATTGATTTTATGTTGATAGTCCTAAATATAAAGCTTTACTTCAAGGAACACATAAACTTAACATGATCCAAGAAAATGAGGTCAAGGTCAGATAAACCAAACGATAAATACATGTACACCTTACAATCATTCAATAAACCAAACATAGTTGACCTATTGCTTATAGTTTTTATCAGTAACATCTTAATCCAATTAAAAAGTTACATTTGGTAGGAGACATTATATTGCACATTTTAATACACCATTGTTGTGACTTTGTATACAAGACAGACTCTATAGAAAACAACCAACAGCAAATTTAACAGTTTTATTAAGAACTATTTTCTTGTACATACAACACATATTTACCTGTTTTATCAAATTTTGTAAATATATATATATATATATATAAGTTCACAATCGAAGATCGACGGTTCTCTCCGACTTCGTCCACCAATAAAAAACTGAACTAGCATGATTTCGGATCTTTTAAAAATAATCGTTTTTTTCTATAACTCTACTCTTTTATTGTCCATCAATTTTAATAGTCCTGCAAAGTAAAGGAAAATAGTAGACTTAGGTGTGTTTGTGAGCACTCAACCCAGGTTGCGTCATTTTCCTTTACTTTGCAGGACTGTTAAATTGATTGCTATTTCAAAATCTATTCAGATTCTATAACATGTGTAATTATTATAAAAGAAAATCTTGTTATTTACCATATTTTTAATTTGATAAAAAATTTCAGATTATATATAAATATATTTACAAAACTTGATAAAACAGGCGACATCATAGTACATTACGTAGTTCATAACGCCATTTGAATCGGCCCTTTGGCACTGAAAGGAGTACGATTTTCCTGTGGCACAGAACTCGTTACTGAACAAGGTATCTGTAATCCAGGGGTTGTTGTCAGCTGTTGATTACCATAACGGTTTTATTCTTATACATGTACAAATGTACATCTTGTAGTATAAATCAGGCTTTACATGTACAACTGTACATCTTGTAGTATAAATAAGGCTTTACATGTACAACTGTACATCTTGTAGTATAAATCAGGCTTTGGGTTCTTTTTAGAATTGTTTAACATTTTGTCATCCCGAGGCCTGTACTTGTTCACATTATTGTCCTTATGTCTTTGTTGGATAGTTGTCTCAATAACAATTATACCACAACTCCTTCATATATTTTTATATAAGTAACAAAACATCTGTACACTTTGTAAGTTTTCATTGGTACAAATGAATTGAAGCAGTATATAATTAATAGACATGTTGCATTTATCTGACCTGCAAATACACTAAAATTATTTAAATCTCTGAAATACTCAGTCTCACACATTATCTTATTAAAGGTCAATTAGTGGCTAATCAGTTACATGAGGTATTGTAGCCAGAATTGCTGCAAATCATTAAAGATTTTTTGTTCAGTGGAAGTTTATAAATAACTTGTCTACTTCGATAGCATTAGGCTGGCTTCCAGCTAATGTAAAAAGGATGGAAAATCTGATAATTTAATTTTCAAAAATTTCTACTGGTCACCATTTTTTAATTTGTATATGGAAAGTTATGTATAGAAATACATGTATGGTCATCATTAGACTTGACCTATCCACCAGTAAAACCCTTGCTAAAACAGGGGTTCGTTTGGCTGTGTATAAATAAGTAGCCACACCTGGCCAGAATTGAGATACCATGTGCAGGGTGAAGACCAAGCTTTCAGCATGTTTATATGGTTAGAGAACCCTTGCAATAAATCTTCGGGGTCCATAGGTGACCTGTTGAAAGACCAAATTTTTGCTTCTTACCAACATGCCTTCATTTTTAAATAGCAGTCCAAATTTCTTGCCCCCTCTTCATGGCCTTGCAGAACCTACCTGTATTAATTGTAACTTTATTCTGATGCTGAATATGCATGAAATATTTGCCACTGGATGTAGGGCAAGAAATAATCAATCAATCCCACTTTGCACCTGGTAAGCATCTGTATGTCGTATATCTGCAACATTTGTCACATACAAGACAATATCCATGTATTATATAGTCACATATGAGACAAAATACATGTATATAATAAATGTTTACACCAGTACAAAGTACAAGCTAATTATCTGCATGGATGAGAACTTATCAATTATTTTTTAAGTATAATGGTTGTAATTACATGTATATGATATCAATACAATTATCATGTCTACTACATTTGTACTTGTAAACTAAAAAAAACTTGAGATTTCATTTGTAACCAATCATTACACTACATGTATTTACAAACCAAATTTCAGTTTTATAAATGAACCTGTAGAGTGGGCTAAGGGAAGCGAAAGCTGTTTCCTGTATATGGATTATTTTTTCTATGTTTCTAGGCCCTTGCTTAATGATTTTTGAATTCAAAGTAAGAAATAATTCACACAGGTAAATGTTTGTAAAAATTTAATGCCAACATGTCATGCATGCATATATGTGATTTAATCATGTTAACGTTACATGTACATGTACATGCACGTAACATTGAGCCATTTATCATAACAAATCAGAATCAATTGTAAAGTTTCCAAGCTGACCTTTTCTGAATATTTTCAATGCATACTGAGCAGCTTGTTCAAAATTAGGTTTAAACGCATGTTGGAATTGAGGATTATTAATATCTTTAATTTTCTTTACCATGTTTTGCTGTTTGGCAATGTGTGACAAAAATGACATGACATTATCAGTTGGTTCTTGCAATTCAAACTTCTCAATATAACTAAAACGTTTTTGTTTATTCAACCAATACAACATATAGTCTACTATGTAATGTTCCCCAACAAGATGGTCAGGTAAACAACCACATAAACTCAGTCTCATTCCAGAATCAATGTTAGGAATGTAAGGTGTCAATATGCCAGGAGTGTCTACAAGGAACATGTCTGGGTTAAAATGTACCTTAATTCGATTATTAACACTTCTAGTAATTCCTGCTATTGCTCCAGTTTGAGCAACATTTCTCTTTCTAGTAGTATGCATTCTTCTGAAGGCATTTATAAAGGTTGACTTTCCCGTGTTTGGAACCCCAATCACCATGATATTAAAGTCAACACTTTTCCTATACCTAGGTCTTGAATTAATTGCATTAAATATCATTGGCATTAACTCAGTTTGTATTTCCTTTGTCCTAAATTCTAAGCAATTTGTAAAAAGCACATTTTCAACACCCATGCAGTGAAGCTTGTCTGAAACTTCCCCTTTCAGTCTCTTGTTACATAGATCGAATTTGTTCAACAGCAGTATATGAGGTCTAAGTGCAATCATGTCACTGAATCTAGGATTTCTTCCTGAGAATGGAATTCTTGCATCGTGTATTTCAATCACACAATCTGTATTCTTCAATTGTGATTGCATTTGTCCCATTGACTTTGCCATATGACCAGGAAACCATCTTATTACATCATAATTTGGAAGAGAAAATGTCTTCCGAAATGTCTGTGCCATTTCATCTGGTAAATCAAATATTAAAAATGGACTGTCACTGATCAACACCAAAGAAGAAATTAGATTTCTGTAGTAATGTCTAACTTGAATGTTTCATTCAATGGGCGCGTCCATTACAATGTCCCGGATGAAAGGGAAGTAAGTATCTGAAATACTGAGGGTGTACTTGGGGGTTTTTAACTATTAAAGTTTGCTTAAAAAATGAAAACAACACGTGATAAATTTAATGCGTCCGAAGCGCTTTTCTGGATTTACCTTCATCAGGAACGCTCAAAGCCGAATATTTGAAAGCCAAGGATGAATAAAGCCGAAACAGTTGAAGAGCTATATAATCATGGCAAAAATGACCTACAGGCGTTTTTAATCACCAACCAACTTGAGGATTTTAATAGTAGAACTACTTACTATTAAAGTTCATGCAAACCGTATCAGATTATGTCAGTTTTTAAAAGATATCCGTATCTACATATCTTCACATAAATTATTTATAGATAATATTAAAATAAGATCAAATAAATAAACAAGGATTTTTACAGTACTATACTGTACAAATACTTGAAATAAATAAGCTTTATTAAAACTTCAGCATGGTTAAAAAACTAAGGAATGAAATAAGCTTTATTGAGCTTTTAACCGGCATACAAGACAATACAAAAAGCATGCAATAAGTTAAATAAAACACAAACTGAAGCACTATAATCTAGCATGATACTGAATAGCAAGTAGACTCAGTTATACAAGGACGATGAACTAGATATTATAACAAGTTAACAAACTGTTAACACAGAGATATATCTCGCCTTTTTGTTATTTTGATAGTAAAATGAATTATTGAAATTAAAATAGCAATACATTAAATAAACATGTAAGTTATGCAAAATATTCAGTCAATGAACCATGACTGAAGGTACAGGGCCAAACAATCTGAATGGAAATGAGATGTGCCAATGCTTATACATTTGCATACCGAATATCATTGACCTACCACTAGTGGTTCCCCAATAACTGACCTTATTACTAACTAATACATGTAAACTATAACAGTAAGTAAAAGTTTCAAAGTCAATAGAACACGACTGAGGGGGCGGAGCCAAACAATCTCCATGGAAATGAGATGTGCTAATGCTAATACACCTTAATACCAAATATCATTGACCTACCACTAGTGGTTCCCTATAAACTGACCTAATCACAAACTGATACATGTAAACTAAGCAAAAGTTTCAAGGTCAATATACCACGACTGAGGGGGCGGGCCCAAATAATCTCCATGAAAATGAGATGTGCCAATGCTTATGTACTGCATACCAAATAAACTATGCAAAAGTTTTCAAAGTCAACAGACAACGACCCTGGGGGGGGGGGGGGGGGGGGGTCAAATAATCTCCATGGAAATTAAATGTGCCAATGCTAATACAACTACATACCAAAGATCATTGACCTGATAGATACTAATAGCTATCTTAGTTTTTAACAAATTATAGTTCATAAAATACAAAATATTTTATGGAGTATTTTTGCATACAGAAGAGTGGATATTTATAAGGTGGTGTTGTATCTAGCTCAGATGAAATAACCTCATAAGAATTTCAGATAAATACAAGAACTTGTACAGTATTGACAACTTCGTTATTTAATAATATTGAAAGTATGATTATAATTGTTAATTTTGAGATTTTTTGAAACTTTTCTTTTGAGATTCATTAGATGTATTTGCTAATGGTGTCGTCACTTGCTTTCATTTAATGTTTTTTGCATTTTTCTCCAAAAACAGCTTCCAATTGTATAGTGTTAATAAAATGTCTTATCTACGAATTGGCGTAATTATTTATTAATTTTTTAGCGCAAATGATACTAGGTATTCTAAAACTTAGCGGAACATATATATATAAAGATAAAGAACCAAAAGCACCAACATACCAAAGCACACATCACACTTACATATAAATAAAAATAATTAAGCATGTGCACACATATATTTAAATTTTGAACATGAATGGTCACATGTCACAATCACATAAAAATTAAGCACATACGTATTTAAAATTTCAACATGAATGGTCACATTTCACAAAATTTTTAACTTTTTTTTTAATTACATTTTATTTCGGGAATTTTAAAAAACATCTATGAATGCAACTTGTTTCATTTATTTGTTTCAATTTTATCATTTTAAATTTAAAGTTTTCATACCATTTGACTTATTATTCTATTTCATTTCAATTTTATATTGACAAAAAGTGATATTATAAAGGTGCAATATAATTTTACCTTCAAACTATCGTTTTCTAATGATTATTAAAGTTTGTTCTAAAATAAAATCCATTCACTAAAACAACATCAGTTCAATATATTTTGTTGGCATTCGAAGAATAGATATTTTAAAAAATATAAGCATTCCAGGAAGACACCATTTCTACCTATTTGTACGAAACAATTGTCAAGAGAGAAATATTGAAACCATTTGATTCAGAAAATGCCCCAAGTTTAAAAACGCTTTTTGATTTTCTACAGGTTTTATTTACCCAAAATGGTTATAAATTAATACACATACAATATTAAACAAAAAATAAAGTAATATGGAAGGAAATTACCTCTATAATTGTACATGAATTTTAGATTTTAGCTCCCTAAGTCTACTTTATCTCTTCCAACTCTAATATCATATATATGTTTTCGCCTTCACGACCTTCTATTAGACTTGGTGTCTCTATGTGTCTTTACTTTAGTTGCGTTTTCCTTTCTCGTGTATGAAAATTTTTCCTAGTATCTTCTTCACTCTATATGACAATTTACAATGTAAATTTAACTTAAATCTCGTACTTAAACATACGGAAGGGCTGTTTTGAGAACAAAAAATCGACACTGGTAATATATTTCATTGCTGCAGTATTTTTGGGTGAATACCATTCTAGAACAGGAGGTTTAACATTGAGTTTGGTTGAGCAATTTTACATTAGGATATGGTGCAAATAATGCACCAAACCCTCGGTCTCCAAATACAAATATGCCAGGCGTAATTTTGGCGCATTGGCGAAGATACCGATAGAGGTTTTCGACGTTGGATAGTAAGGTGTCAATCTTCTGATGAATTTAATAACATAATTATCAAATATATATTGTCTTTTACGTGTCGTTTGGTCGCTCTCTTAGTGACGTATATCCATGCATTCACCAATAAAATTGAGAATGGAAATGGGGAATGTGTCAAAGAGACAACAACCCGACCATAGAACAGACAACAGCAGAAGGTCACCAACAGGTCTTCAATGCAGCGAGAAATTCCCGCACCCGGAGGCGTCCTTCAGCTGGCCCCTAAACAAATATATATATACTAGTTCAGTGATAATGAACGCCATACTAAACTCCAAATTGTACACAAGAAACTAAAATTAAAAATAATACAAGACTGACAAAGGCTAGAGGCTCCTGACTTGGGACAGGCGCAAAAATGCGGCGGGGTTAAACATGTTTATGAGATCTCAACCCTCCCCCTATACCTCTAGCCAATGTAGAAAAGTAAACGCATAACAATACGCACATTAAAATTCAGTTCAAGAGAAGTCCGAGTCTGATGTCAGAAGATGTAACCAAAGAAAATAAGAAAAAATGACAATAATACATAAATAACAATAGACTACTAGCAGTTAACTGACATGCCAGCTCCAGACTTCAATTAAACTGATTGAAAGATTATGTCTTCATCATATGAATATCAGGCACAATCCTTCCCGTTAGGGGTTTAGTATCATACCATCATAACATATATGAGAAGAACATAACCCGCTTGTTTTTATTCAATCTTCATATACATTTTTAAAGGATCCTTGTCGGTGCACCCAAAGGAAACAGCAGTAACTTTTCATTGATTGACAGACCTGGGTTGCTGTACAAATGTCCAATTGCAGGCCAGAAAAGAGATTGTTACCCTGTCAATGTAAATAATGCAGGTAAGTCTTATTCTTATTTTGAAATATTTCTATCAGCAGTGTGCAATGCTGCATTATATCTGATTATTTTGAGATATGTTTTAAGGTGAAACGGGACCTTTGAAAATTCGCAGTGATGGATACAAACTTATAAGAATATTTTTCTCACTATTACTGATATTAAAAGTGCTTCCTTTTTCAAAATTATGCACCAGCCACTGAAACACACGGAAACCACCGGTTACCGTGTCAAGAAAAACTGAGAATAACATGGTAATTTTCATTGTTTAAAAGTTATAGCACCTTTAAAAAAAATGACAAACTGACCATGTTGAAGATATGCCGGTATATGCCGTATCAGAATCTACATCTTATTTTTTCCCCTGTTTAGATGTTTATTAAAATCATATCATCAGCATTGAATTCGGTCCCAAAATAGTATATTAAGAGGACTCAATATTTAAGAAATTGTTATTCATTACGTTGAGCACAAAACGAATCTAAATTGTTCAGATTTTCTAAAAGTTTCATTATTTTTTTTTCAGAAATAACAAAACAAATAATTATCTAGTTGTACAGAGATTGAGTATTAATTAAGGATTTGAATTATACACAAAAATATAAAAACGTTCCCAATTTTAAGTAGAATAAAATCGAGAATGGAAATGGGGAATGTGTAAAAGAGACAACAACCCGACCAAAGAGCAGGAACCAGCCGAAGGCTACCAATGGGTCTTCAACACAACGAGAAAAATCCCGCACCCGGAGACGGGCTTCAGCTGGCCCCTAAACAAAAATGTGTACTTGTTCAATGAAAATGGACGTCACACTAAACTCCTTTAACATATAAATGAGCTAAAATTAAAAAACATACCTGACTAACAAAGGCCAGAGGCTCCTGACTTGGGACAGGCGCAAAAATGCGGCGGGGTTAAACATGTTTTGTGAGATCTCAACCCTCCCCCTATACCTCTAGCCAATGTAGAATAAACAAGCACACAGCAATATGCACAGTTAAACTCAGTTTTAAAGAAGTCCGAGTCCGATGTCAGAATAGGTAACAAAAGAAACTAAGCAAAATGACAATGATACATAAATTAACAAAGGACTACTAGCAGTTACTGACATGCCAGCTCCAGACCTCAATTAAACTGATTGAAATATTATGTGTTCATCATATGAAAATCAAGCACAATCCCTCCCGTTAGGGGTTTAGTATCATACCATCAAGTCTTTCTCTTGTCCCTTCCACTTTCAAAACCTTTATTTTATTTCATATTTCGAAACGATGAAGTCGTACCAAATTGTTAATTGTAATTTGAACAACTTTGTCGTATTTTAAAATAAGAGTGAATTGAAACTGTGTAGTATATATATATTAGGAAATTAATGCACACCTTAGCTGTGCACTATCCAGATTGTATATATATAGCACATTATAAATAAAGATATTTTGCTTATATCGTGTGTAAATGTAAATATAAGCTTGCAGTGGACGTTTATTACTGTGCTAATAATTCTTTCACATGAAACTGTAACGTAAGCTACTATATCAAAGATTTCAAGATGGTCAAAAGTTTTTTTAGGATTACAATTTGTATACTGATGCATACTATTAGTTAGAGGCAACTCTAACCTACATTGGAAGTGAACTTATGACAATGAAAAACCAGGGTTTGAAAGCGATAGTCTATAAGGTTAAACCTCAATAATCCTGGGTTGTTCTTTTTAACACATAATTCATAGCAAATACGCTTACAGTTTCAAAGTATCTGATTCTGTCGTTTCAAATTCATTTCGCAACAGGTAACACAGAAGAAACGATAAGTTATCACAACAAGAGAATAACATTTCACAACGACATGAGCAACCAGTGGTTAGGAATGACATTAGATATAGAACCTATCAACCACTCATCCATTATGGTAAGTGTTGGGAATCTATAGTTATTTGCGACATCGCTAACACTAGTCATTCAAAATTAGCTGTACACTGACGTCGTCAAATCAGTTGCTTATAGAAGTCTTTGCAGAGCTGTGTTAACGATTGACGTTTTCTACATATGAATTTGTAGTGGCAAAAAAAATTGCCTACAGCTTTCTTTTACCAATAATTGTATCAAAGCACCAGAATTTAAACGCATTTAATCTTCAACTAGATATCTAATTGATGGGCCTGTAGACTAATAAACACTTTGTAAAAAGGGTTAAAAATCTCTTTTCCTTTGGAAGTTGTGTTATATTTATTCGAAAAGTATTGAAATACGGAAAATAAATGCTGTGTGTTTAACCTTAACCTTATCAAATTGAAATTAAATATATCAGAAAGCAGGAAATACAGATATATTTTTCATTGCATATTTCGAGAAAGCATCGAATGCTCTTAATCATTAGTAAAAAATGGTTATTATTATTATATTATATAAAAATATTGTACCGTATCAAAGAATTTCGCAGTTTCTTAAAACAAACTCAAAGTCCTTTGATTGCTGATATGAAATCGTGCCGTGCTATGATCTAATATCGGTGTCTGTACATCTAAGAAAATAATCAAAGTTAAAAACATGAGTACATGAAGACAAGATCTTGTGCAATGCCTAGAAAAAAACTGTACATAATTTTAATGCAGAAAAACAAAAGAAACAGTTTAGACTTGCTTTAAACTTAAAGCATGGCATGAAATGATCATTCTTCTGAAAGAACTAACATTTCAAGGTAAAATCAATTTACTCTACCAGATTTGTGCCCCGAGATGGAAGGACTCATATTTGGAGAAAAAGATGAATGGAATGTCCCATATGAATGGAATATGTTACCTTTTGAGTTCAGACTTATCAAGTCCACCGAAGTTTCTCCCAGCATTAACTAACTTGAAAAGACTTGTCAACAGAAAGAGTAATTATGTTGAGTTTTCAATGGGGGCAATGGGATTTTCAGCAGTATTCTCACAGGTTAGTTTAATCTAAGTGAATATTCTCCTTATACAGTTGTTGTTATAGTGGAATTATATTAAAATTAATTTGTCAATGCCCACACCTATTATACGACTAAATCATATACTATTCGAAAGCATATCATCTTTTCTATAAAATTTGCTCGGTCGTCAGATATTCGTACTGTGCAATACCCGTATATTATGCAAATAATGCTGAAACACAAACTGAAATGAAATTAAATGAAAATTGAGAATAACAGATCGAGCAATTTTACATTTTCTTTAGTTTTAATGAGTATGTAAGTCTTAGTCCATTCTTTGGGAGAATGTTGAAGATCAAAGGTCGAGACAGAATAATTCCAGTAAAAATGGTTAAACGACTGAAAATCAAAACATTTGTTTGTGATTGAACTGTGACTGTCAATCACTCAAAACCAAATAAATCTCTTAGGTATTGTGAAGGAAGTTTTTTGTCATCAATTCACTACAACGACGCTAATAAAAGAGCCAATCATGACAGATCATACATGTTTGAAATTTTTTCAAAAAGTCAAACGGAAATTACACACGCGGGATTCTTGCTTTTAGTGGGAATCAAAGGGGCGAAAATTTTAATTATTATACTTGCCAGCATGACAAAAGTACTTTTCTTACTGTTTGATTTGTAACTTCATGATAAATATAAAAGAAATGAAGGACTTTTTATCTATATAAAATCTCACCAAAAAAGATAGATCCATAGATTATAAATCAATGTTGAGAAGTTAAGTTTCAATGAATTCTCTTATACAAATTAGAAAACTTGTCTTCCAAGTTACTTAACTGCATCGTGCATTGTTCATTGTTAAAATGCATGATATCTTCACAAACAGCATCTGTATTCAGCGCCTGTTTATGATGGGGTTCGTTTTGCTTTTATTAATTTCTGATTTTCTGTATAGTCTGTTATGAAGTGATGTTTGTCTTTTCGTCATGACGTTGTCTGTCTTTTCGTCATGACGTTGTCTGTCTTTCTTCGACTTCGTCAAAGTGTATGGCAGATCCAGGGCTTCTATTTTTTTATTCGAATTCCAAAGAACCTAACAAACCTATGATTTTCCAAGTTTTTCCATTTATACGTTTATTCGGGGTATTTATTATAGAATTGATTCTGTATTTTTGAAAATTTATGCGAAACCACGATCATATTTGTATTAAGAGTTTCTTGCTAAAATGTGACCGTCACTTGCTTTCTCCCGAATAAAAATCCCCATCCCCCCAAAATACGGTATTTAATTTTATAATTTATATGTTATAAAAACCACTGTAATTCAAACAAAATTATTTTCTGAAGTTGACATCAATATGCTTGATCTTTTTGATTGACAACATATTCATTACTTTTGGAGGATGTGATTTTTTCAATAGACATTCGGCATTCCTATATGAACAAACTGTGCTATTCTTCTTGCCGACTTCATACAGGAGCATCATAGGAAGAAGAATGAACGCATCTATCCCTTCGAACTAAATAGAAACCATAAATACATTTAAATCTGCCTTATATCTTATTTGTTGTTTGTCTTTTCGTCATTTTTCGTTTTTATTGTCATGGTTTTGTCGGTTTCTCTTCGACTTATGAATTTTGATTGTCCATTTGATATCTACCGCCTCTTTTTTTTTATAAACATTTTGATTTGGGGGTGGGGACGAAGAGGGCATAAGCAATCTTTTGTTGAAAAATATATAATTTTTTATCAGAAAGTCGTTCCAATTTTTTTCGCCTCGATCTGCTCGGCGTTATATATTTTGTTTGTTTAACAATTACGTTCCCTAGTCAAAAATCATGCATGAATCCGCCCCTGCAGTAAAATTGATTATCTTTAATATCATTGAATCTGAAATTTAATCTGTAAACACAAAACTTCGACAGGCATTGTGTAGTGACGTGAAAGAAGTATGATCTCACGTAAAATCAATTGTACAACTGTTTACAAAATCATTAAAATGAGACTGAAACATGATGACATCATTGCTTTTAAGTTAATACCCTGTATATATTATTTATCTAGGAAAATGGAACGTTGTTGTTTGGAGCTCCTGGTTTAAATGATTGGACAGGTTAGTTCTATAGGTCTTCATGGTAAAATACAGTAGAATAACTATAAATGCCCCGTTACATCTTGCATGTTTCTTCAAGTGCAAGTCATCAATTTTAATCGCAGATTATCTTAGAAGGTGGCTATTGATAAGATCTTGGAAGTTTTGATAATACTTGGATTTCAGTGAATTTTGTTTTTTATAAGGTCTTCAGAATTTATAACAAATGATTTTTGCTTTACAAAAAAAACAAATCTTATGAAATATGATAACGATAAACAAAAAGGGAAATTCATCAAAGATATACCAGGCTTAAAGTTTGGTACCGCAGAAGCGCGTTTCGTCTACATAAAACTCACCGGTGCCGATCAAAACAAACAGATGGATGGCCAAAAAAATAAAAAAAACCCCAAAAAATCCGAAAAGTTGTGCCAAATACGGATAAGGATATATATGCCTTGGGGTAGAAACACCTTAGTATTTAGAATATTTCAACATTTCATAAAGAGCGTATCTATATATATTTCACGTCAGCACAGAAATGCTGATGATCGTTGTTCCCGCTGTCTGTTTCACTCGGCTCAGCTTTTTATAAAATTGTATATCACGGTTTTGTGACATCAAATACGTTGACCCGGCCTTAATAACTTTGACCCGGACATATCATTGACGTCATAATGAATGAAACGACGTCGATAAGTTTGACCCGAACTTATCACGTCAACTTCCAGTTTTTTGGTGAAACTTTTGTTTCTATCATACAAATACACAAATACAATCCGATAAATCAATTATCAGGTTGTCTGCATATTGATATTGTAAAATATCAGCTGCTCAACACAATATGAAGCCTTTTTGAACTCGTTCGCTACGCTCACTCGACACAAAGCTTCATATTGTGACTCACAGCTGATGCGTTACAATATCAATACGCAGACAACCTGATAACCGGTACTTATCGGTGTCCCCACTGTCTGTATCACTCTGCTTAATTAGCTCTTCATAAAATTGCATACCACGGCTTTGTGACGTCAAATACATTAACCCGGCCTAAATAACGTTGACCCGAACATATCACCGACGTCATTATGAATGAACCTACTTTGATAAGTTTGACCCGAACTTATCAAGTCATCTTCCAGTTTGCTGGTGAAGCAAAGAAAAAACACCTGTTTTTATCATGCAAAATACACAAATACAATCCGATAAATCGATTATCAGATTTTCACCATACTTACATTGTAAAATATCACCTGCACGGCACAATTTGAAGCCTTTTTGAATTCGTTTGCTGCGCTCACTCGACAAAAAGCTTCTTATTGTGACTTGCAGCTGATATTTTATAATATCAATATGCAGACAACTTGATAATCGGTACTTATCAAAACAGGAATACTGAGAAAGATTTGAAATAAAAACAAAAGAAGAATATCTAAGAAAAAGGATATTAGGAGGATTGTATAATATTCATTGAGTTATAAAAGGTTTCTTCTCTTCAGTCATGACACTCGTTGAAAAATGAAATATAAAATTCGGACAGTGCGAGATCTTCATGGGTGTTCATAGTCATTTATATATCCCTACAGTAGTGATAAAGAATTTGTTCTTTGTAGGGGGTGTTGTAATAGAAACGATAGCAGGAGAAAACAATGTAAGATACATAGAACCATCGAGAAAAGACTTCCAGGATAGTTATAGTGGTAAGTCGAGAAATATTCATATATATTAAAGATAGAGAAATGTATATAATATTCATTTGTAGGAATGAAAACAACTTCGTATTCAATGTTTAAGCCAAAATATTTGATCGTGAAATAATATTCATAACTTACAAATGACCTAGGTTGCATTGTTTAATTATTGACTACATGCATGAAGTGATAAACCCTAAGTTTCACATCATTATATTTTATTTTTAGGATATTCTATAACGACAGGGAAATTTGTAAGTAGAAACAAATTTAGTATAGCAGTCGGCGCCCCTAGAGCTGATAATTATGGAAAGGTAAGCCGTTACTCCACCTGTTTTCATGCCGTAAATTTTACCAATAGAAACAATGATGATTCAAATTGCAACTATACTATAATTTAATTGGGGCTGCTTCGTAGGGCCACGTAGATTTTGACTACTGAACGTGTAGCTAGCCAAGCCGCTAAATAGATTTAGATAGCCCAATTAATGTATGCTATCTAGAGAATTCAAAATGGAGTCGGAAAGGTTATTACTCATGACGTCATTTTGATAGGCTAACTACGTAGCATATCGTTCAACATAGATAGATATATAAGACATAGAGGCTATAATATCTGCTACGATATTGAACGCAACCATGTAGTCTATGTACGTCACGAGATAAACGCGTTAAACATGTATCTCAGTTAACATCGAAAACAATTACGTACAAATAGATTGAGTGGGATATACATCAATTGGACACAACTACACAACACACCAGAAGCAACATGGATCCTATCAATTTGGCAAAATTTACGTTGTGTGATACATACGTTATAACGATATAACTGAATAACGATCTAATCTTTAATACAAGGGACTGATATTAAGATTATAGAAAACATAATAGAAAAATTAGTTTCTGTAAATGATGCCACAAAGGGACGCAGTTGTCAGTCATTAAAATAATATTTTTGCTTTTAGGTATTGCTGTATTCTAGCGAATCGACAGTTGGTCCGCTGTCATCCGTTGTTGGAACACAGGTGAACATTATAGTGTTTTGATTCTTACATGATCATTTAGCTGCATATAAGAACAATTTAAAAGCCGAAAAAGGCCTTCGAAAGCTTATTGCCCTAACAGTACTACTATCAAAACAAATTAAATATAGTGAAATTTAAGAAAAGCCAGCACAACGCATGCGGGTAGGATTTGCCTATTTGTCTACTCACTGAAGAATACATATTCACTAACATATTGTAATTTTATAAATGACTTCCAACATCTATATGTATTGCTTTACAAAAATAAAATCATTGAACCACTGGTCGTCTGTTCATACTCATCTTTACTGAATCACATGGTAACACAATTACTAAGAGATCTTTTGAGTCGTTGGTTTGCAGTCTCATTGACACATACCCACATCTCCCTTGATTTATATTTTTATGTAGTTTGACTTTCTATTCGTGCATTGTCGTAGTTTTCTCATATCAACAAATTTAAATGCATTTGTTATTGTTTAACAGACAGGTAGCTATTTTGGAGCAGCTTTATGCAGTTTAAGTATAGAAGGGGACAAACTAGACTACCTTGTAGTAGGAGCTCCGATGTTTGCAGATAAGAGCCCAGAGGAAGGCCGAGTGTTTGTGTTCAAGTCTCATGGGTTGGTAAGTGATGAGATTAATTTTAAGTCGATGTACTAGTATAGTTATTAAAGAATATTTCAATTAATATTCAAGTTGACGCAGCAAATATTTTCGTAGTGACGGTACAAATAATATTGCATGACATTGAATGTAAAACTAGCTTCATTGCAATGACATGAAATGTAATTATATATAATGCTATATTTTTATCATATTTAGCTCGGTTTCAGAAAGGCATCAGTTCTCAGGGGTCTTGATAAACCTTTTGCCAGATTTGGAGCAACAATCTCTAACATCGGTGATCTGGATAAAGATGGATTTGAAGGTTTGTTATGGCAAAGCATAAATTATATAATGACTGATATTAGAGTGTTCATATTTTGTTTGTTTGTATCAGCATCTTTATACATTGCATTTTGTTGGTCATCCACACTAGGGAGTTTATTTTCTTAAACGTTAGGTGAATGTTTACTAATACAGATTATTAAATATGTAATCATTAAAGACTAACTTCCATTCCGACAGAATGCGAGACCCGATATGCAAACCCTTCCATAGAACAGACATCCCTCAACATGACTCTGCATTAGTCTTGATTATTTCAGAAAAGGGTCCTGTTTAGTATTGTATTATAGCGGGAGGTTTGGCATGCCACAAAACCAGGTTCAACCCACCATTTTTTTCTTAAAATGTCCTGTACCAAGTCAGGAAAATGGCCATTATTATATTATAGTTCGTTTCTGTGTGTGTTACATTTCAATGTTGTGTTTTTGTTGTGTCGTTGTTCTCCTTTTATATTTGATGCGTTTCCCTCAGTTTTAGTTTGTAACCCGGATTTGTTTTTATCTCTATCGATTTATGAGTTTCGAACAGCGGTATACTACTGTTGCCTTTATTTGGTCTGTTCTCAATATGTTTGACAAAAATACTGTACTAAACACATCGTTGTTTTTTATTCTTTTTTAAATATTATAAGCTGTTATTGTTTGCTGTAAAAACTCACCAAAGATACATTGCTTGAAGTTTGATTCAGTAAACGTTCTAGTGTTACTGCTGGTGGGTGCATATTTTATTTCATTTCAATGGTTGTTTCTGTCTTCTATTTTACCGTAAATTTTCTGTTTGATTTTTGGTGTGATTGAAGTCCCCGATTTCTACTTAAAATTTATCTCCTTTATATTAATTCTAGGAAAAGTTAATGATCTTTTAACTTGCTTGAACGCCTCTTAGCTATAAAGTCCATTTGAATTTGCTTATTGACTTTTATTTAAAAGTGCTAATCCTAGCTGCTTATCAATCGATTTTGTTGACATTTTCCCCCTGAACTTCTCTGGACTAGCTGCACATATATACGGAGAGTTGTGTGTTCCGATGTTGTATATAGCTAGTAGATGCATAAATTGAGGTTGATTTGTAAGGGATCTATTCCCACAGCAACACATCAAACCAACTTTACATAAAACTCCTAATTAAACTGTTCTAATCGTTTGATAAAGGAAATAATGATACTTTATGATAATTCTGATATTATTCAAAATTTTGCATTATTACTTCTTAACAAAACGTTTCTATTGTGAACTGATAATCAGTTCATATAAAATATTGAAGATTTCCGATTATCCGTGTTTACAGGGGGGTAATATTTAGATTTTATACTGTAATAAAGTATATATGATATGGTTTTTTTCTCAATAGCACGCATAATCAACCCTTTACTAATATACCCCCTTAGGATTATATTGGTATCTCAGATTGGTACAGGTTTGATATTTAAAACGCAATTAAATGATCTCTCTCTTTATAAATTCTACTATGATTAAGACTAAATGACAAAGACCTGAACAATCACAGGTGACTGTAACAGTATTAGATTAACATGACACCAAGTACAGTGTTATATATTTTCGCACAGTTTTCCTTTGAACTGCAAAGTGAAATTTGATTTTTTTTGTTGACGATTTCAATGACAAACACACTTTTAAAGTATAATATTTGGCGTCAAACATAAAACTGGACAAACATAATGGGAGATTTAAAACATTGCTATTCTAATAAAAGAATTATACTTTATGACATCGAAATCCTGAATTACGATATAATTGGTTTACAGATATTGTCGTTGGTGCCCCTTATGAAGAAGACGGCAGAGGATCCATATATATCTTTAATGGTTATAAATTAGGTTTATGGAGTAAGTTCACAAAACATATTACAGCCAGGGAGATAGATCCCGGAATTAGAACATTTGGTATATCATTTTCCAGGCCATATGATGTTGACAGAAATAATTATTCAGGTATCACAATTTAATTTTTATTTTAAAATCTCATATTCATTTTTTTTTTAACAATGTATGACATTTCCATAGAATGTAAGTATATAGTACTTAATTACAGCTACTAGCGTTTCTGTGATGATCGACCGTTCCGCATTTTAATAAAGATGTTGGTAAATGTAAAATTTTCTTTTTTAATATTTTTTAAGATCACGAGATAACTGCCGGGTATAAAACAGCTGCTAATGTGTTCTTTTTCTTTCCTACTTTTGGATTTTAATAGACATTTTTCTGATTGTCGCATGGACAATGATTGAACCGTCTGTGAATGTTACCGAATTTGACAGAGCGTCATATTTCAAGATGCAGCCAGTCTTATTGAAAGGATTAAGAGGATTGTTAAATCTAAAGCATATTTAACTATCTTTTCAGGCTCAAAAAATTATAACTAGAAGGCGTACGTGTTGGACGTCATTCCTTTTCTAACCAGCACCAGTTACATTTTCTACAGATTTTGCAGGTTCAATTTTTCTTGAAACTATTTATGAATTGATTATTTTGAAACTTGTTGGGTACATTCATAAGGAATTCGTCCTGTAAAATTGTTAATATAAACAAATATATGAAATTCAAAAGATAAAGCAAATTCTACAGTTAATTCTCAGAAATAGTCCTTCTTTCAGATATTGCAGTCGGTGCCTACAAATCTGGTCATACAATTGTCCTGTGGTCCACACCTTTAATTGACTTGTCGGAGACAATATTAAAAATTAAAAATTTGCAACCAGTAAATGGCTGTATCATTCATGAGAAACTTCAACCAAATTGTACCAACCAAAATCTTCTACAAGGAAATATGATATACTGTTTTATGTTCAAAAGCGACAGACTGAACTCACCCACTAATGCTAGTAAGTATTATACTGGAAAATGGAAAAATGCCGATATAGGATGAACAATATGTTAATGTGATCAAAAGTACTGATAATTATCCAATGAATAATGCTTTTGTTATTGCAGTTTTGTGTAAAACTAGTCTATTTTTGAAGAACTTTCAGTAAAAGAACATTTAAAGGGTTTTCTATGACCGTGAGCACATGTCGTTAGTCAGTTTAGACACCGATACATCATATCGGTCAACCAATTCATCATGGTGACCGTAAAAGTTATGCTGTGTCGATTTCAGTCGTTATTCATTACACTTTTGGAGCAATTTTTGTGTATGGAGCACACCCCTGTTTATGAAGTCCATATAGCGTAAACATGCACGCTTGTAACGTATAAACTTAGATATGTAAACGCTATACGATGGAGCAGGAGCTATGTTACCGTTGAGAAAAGGGAAGTGGACAATTGGAAATTTGAAATCATCACGTTTATCATAGATTCTAATTTGAAGTCGCCCATCTGTATCAATATCGGGGAAAAGATTAAGATGTGAGGCAGACATTCTACTTTCTGTCGTATCTTGATATCAAGTTCACTAGGATATATGATATGTAAGCACTTATTGAAATATGGGTTATTGAGTGAGAGTAGGACATAAACCACGTGCTTCTTTTTCATTGGTTGTCGTTGTCATCTTCTTTGTCTCTTAAAGTTGTTTTCGTTTTGTGTTTTCGATATTAATTGGCTCATTATTTGACCCATTTGAACTTTTTTTGCATTCTAGTTTATCAGTAGGTCGGAATGTTTGCCCAATGATGAATGCTTCACGACGATTTGCAAATGTTTTTGTATTCACTTTTGATTCTTACAGTGTTTAGTGGCTAGTTGTTTGTTACAATACCACACCAACTCTTTGAAATAAAAGGGGCATGAGCTACAAATATATTTTTTGTTTCATTTCAATATTAATAAAAGTGGAATTATGAAATGTTATTTCGCTATAAGCTTTCATTTTGGTTCAATTTTGTCAAAATAAGCTCAAAACATCGCTGATGTATTATTGACCTGCAAGTCAATAATAATAATTTAACCTAATTTGAATCCGTATTTATGCGAACTTCAATTTGACCTTTAATTATAGATGAGATGCGCATGTGTTGAGCATGTTTAGTTATAAAAAAGAAAGAAAGTCAACATTGAAAAGGGAAACAAGGCAGCCAACTGGAAGAACACGTTCGTTGACTGATTCTGACAAAAATCAATCTTATTCATGTAAAACGATTATTTAAATATTTTCAGACCTAGAAAAATCTTCATCATACCATTGCTCGTGCTTGTCTGTGTATTTATATTTGTTTTTTTTCTTTACATCAGGTCATATGACCATCGGAATTCGTCGGTTAATTACACGGCAGCTTGTCTAAAATACGCATTAACTGCTGATACGTTATAACGAGTCTATGCATTGTTAATTATTTCTTAATGACTTTTTGTAATTTGAACATACATTTTTAGTATGTTATAATTCAAATATGAGAATCTTAGTCGAATCGAAGAGGATGAATTTGACAACTCATGCTCATTTAAATGATATCATACTTTCTAGTTTTGTTGTTTCCTTTACAGTTGTGAAATATCAGGTTGTATTTGATTCATCTAGGAATAATTCACGAGTTTTTGGCTATAACAAAAGCAACAAATTGATTCCACTCAAAACTTTCACTGGGAAGCGTAGGATTTATGTCAACAGACGAGCATGTGAAAATACTACAATATATATACAGGTACAACACTTCATCTACTATTACAGCAAATCCAACTACGGTGTTCAAAGTAAATTCAGAAATTGGCAATACAGAGAAATGTAGAAGATAAAGACAAACTAAGATAATGATTTCCTTTTTTAACAAATTATAAGTCTGGTATCTTTGATGAAGTTTTACATGTGGCATTTGACAAATTGGCCAGTGGTGAAATTCATCTATGATAGTAAGCTAAATGACTATCAGATAATACAATGTTATCAATAAAAAGTTATAAACGTCTGGTATGAATAGTTTATATAGAATCCTTATTAATTCCATAGAGTAAATAGTATGTAACTGTATCTTCCTAATATTTGCTACCTTCTCAAGTAATAAATGAGATGATAAAAAAGAGGCGGAAGATACCAAGGGGACATTCAAAACTTATAAGTCATTAAACTGAGCAACACGAACCTCACCTTAAAATGGGGTGATCCCAGGTGCTCCGGAAAGGTAAGATGCATATCCTGCTCAACTAGTTAAACCCGGTGTATTGCTCATGGTAAGTACACATTCGGCGATGAGTCTCATAACAAACTAAATTATTCTGAGCCTAGGTAATATAAAGCTGAGCTTATTTTATAGAAACTTTTCTGTCAATGAAAACCCTATGTTGAATTATGTACATGTGTTATAAAGCTGAGCTTATTTTATAGAAACTTTTCCGTCGATGAAAACCCTATGTTGAATTCTGTACATCTGTTTTGGTTTAATTGTGTTGGTAGATCAATTTCTTACTATCCTTACTTCACGTAATAATACCATTTGATAAAAAAGAGAGTACTGTTTGAAAAACCAGTATATTTTTAATTGGTCGAACGAATTGCAGCTTGGTATAGTTATGTTGTGATTTACAACAAGCATTATAAAGATATATAAAAATCGTGACAAGACGTATACAAGACCATATTTGCGTCTCGTATAATACTTTTTTTTACCAAATAATATTTTACTCCGTTTAACACTAAAAATGTAATGCATGCTAATTAAATGATGCCTTATCATTGAAGTTCACAGAAGAATCAAATCAAGATGTATGGATTGAACTTGATTACAACTTAAGAGGTCGAAAAGTTACCTTACTTCAATTCAACGGGAAGAAAAAACAACCAGAGATTACCAATAAAAGCAAAGCGAAGGTATGTTTACATTATTATTTCTGTTACATTAATTGTGAATAAAGATTTGAAGACGTTTTTATTTCTAGCAAATAGCAGTCCATGAAGTAGAAAGCTATGTGTTATATAAACAAGAACCTAATACCGCCAAAAATCAATGAACAAATGAAAATTTGCTTCTATTAATATTTTTTTCATAAATTTCAATAGTAAGGCAGTTTGAAAGAAGAAAGATGGGTGAAATAAATGATAATACTACAATGATTATTGTAGGTTGAACTGAAGCAAAAGTGTGCAGATGACAATGAATGCGACGAAAAAATATTAATCAAGGCTGCAATGGAAATACAGAATGAAAACCAAACTGTATATACCGTAGGAAAATCAGTAAATGTGCTAGTTCTAGTCACGGTACTAAATATGGATGACATTAAAACATCAAGTGATGTCAGTATAAATATTCAATATTCAAAAATATTATCTTTTGTGAAAAGTTTTCATTACTGGAGCAATCGTAGTTTGCCATGTGACATTGAAGACTACAATAGTTCAAAGTTTATTATTAGTTGTAGAATAAGTAAGGAACAAAATTACAATACATCTGCTATTTTCGAATTTTACGTTGGAAACGGATTGTTGGAGGATAGTGTAGAGTTTTTGATCAGTTCACACAGTAGTAGTAGAATATCCAATAATGTTACGTTATATTTACCTGTAGTTTCTAGATCTCATGTAATAGTTATTGGGTAAGTAAAACGTAAAATGTCGAACAACGTAATAATGTTTTTTCCTGTAGTATCTTGATGTCATTTAACATTTGGTAAGTTTGTAACACTCCCAAACGTGTCCATCCCCCCAAACGTGTCCAATTCCCCCAAACGTGTCTATTCTCCCCAAACGTGTCTGTTCTCCCCAAACGTGTCTATTCTCCCCAAACGTGTCTGTTCTCCCCAAACGTGTCTATTCTCCCCAAACGTGTCCGTAATATTCAATATGGCCCAAACGTGTCCGATTTCAAAACCCCCAAACGTGTCCGATAATTGTTATTCGCCAAAAACGTGTCCACTGTTAAACACCAGCAGCCGGTTGTACGAACGTTGCATTAGCCTAATGGGTCATTAAGTCTTTATTAAGCCTTTATGATTCATTAGGCTAATGAAGACTTAATGACTCATTAGCCTAATGACACGTTCGTACAACCGGCTGCTGAACGTCTTTTAGCGCTAATACATGTATGTCCTAAATGAAACCAATAACGTTTACGGCAATTCTATGATGGGGGAAGCAGTTGATGAGGTAGTTATTTATTAGCATTAGTTTGTTCAATGCCGGTTGTTAATGATTATCATAATTGCAAATTTATTATGTAACATATGAATTAACTTTTGACTGAATTTGCTTATTGTCCAGTATTTCTTGCTCATTTAGAGCGAACATACAAATAATTCTAGTGCAGTTGAATTAATCGTTTACTATGTAAATTATGTGTTACTAATAAACTCCGATGATGCCTTTTATATTAATCCGACGGCGGGCTTTCAACAGAATTGACTTCCCTTTTTTTCAACAGTTCTGATATTTTAAAAGCTCTTCAAATCATAAACTGGTTTTCAGGTTTTTTAATAAATTTTAAGTTTCGAGCATCACTAAAGACACACGAACAAGAGAAATAACGTCCAGTGCCAAATATTTAATGCATTATTGGAACGACATCATGTTAACAATAAATACTGTATACAGGTTCTATTATCATACCGGGAATTTAGGATTGGGTATAAATTTTGACAGTTTTTCGGGATTAACACTAGTTGGGATTTTAATCTAAAAAAAATAAGAGCGAGTGAAGACCGATTTTTTATGACTTCAGTAAGAAACTACTGCAATCTCCGTATGTAATAGAGGCCGTTTTAAATAAAAGTTGCGGAAATTTAAAAAAAAATGTTGCCTTCCAAAATACAACTGATGGCACCATGAAAGAGTTAATTGCTACAAAGGTTTTAATGCGCAGAGAATGGGACATTCTCCCTACACGAGGTATCTGATTTAATATCTACAATTTAACTGAGCATGGCTGCTTACATTTACATCCAACATAGCCGAACGGACGCCCCCACTTTTAACCAGGTTAAACTGCCGGTTTAAAAAAGACCTAAAGTAATTTATTTCTATTTTTTGATGAAATAGTAAAATGAGTATACGTTAATGAAAAAACAATAACCAAATAACCTACGTATTTATAATATGGACACGAATGATAGTTCCAGTAAAAGAAAAAAATTAAGCTCGATATGGACACGTTTGGGGGATTGGACACGTTTGGGTGTTCATTAAAAAATGGACACGTTTGGGCGTTTAGACAAATGACACGCTATGGCGCCCTTTTACATTTGGACATGTTTTGCAGTTCAGTGACGTCATGTGGACACGTTTGGGGGAATCGGACACGTTTGGGGGGGGGGGGGGGGAGGGGGGAGGGGGGGAAGGACACGTTTCTGAGTGTTACAAGTTAATTAGAATATCCAAAAACCGTAACATTTTATTAACTTTTTGTACCTAAATATAACGTAATAGTCATTGTGTTAGTAAATTTAGAACATTCAAAAACTGTAACATCATATTAATCTGTTGTACCTAAAAAGCATGTAGCAGTCATTGGTTAAGTAAAATTTAGGATGTTCAAAAACCGTACCATTATATTAGCCTGTTGTACCTAAAAATCATGTAACAGTCCTTGAGTAAGTAACATTTAGAATGTCCAACATTGTGACAAGTTGGTTGTGGTTGTGTGGTCTGTTGTACTGTTTAATATTTTTAAGTAATTGCTTTATACCTTTTTGTATAATATAGGGATACAATAAACGCATCATAGATACCAGGATTAAGATTAAGTAACGTCAGACGCGCTTTCGTCTACAAAAGACTCATCAGTGACGCTCGAACCAAACGGTCAAATATAGTACGAAGTTGAAGAGCATAGAGGACCCAAAATTCCGAAAGGTTAAGCCAAGTACAGCTAAGGTAATCTATTCCCGGGATAGAAAATCCTATAATTTGCTGTAACGTTCATTTATTCTCGTCTATGTCAATTGTAGTCACGCGGATTCCAAATGTTTTGTCAAGTTCTCGTTTTCCCTTAATCTGTATTCAACCCCAAATGCCCAGTATCAAAGTTTCTTAACTTTCAAATAGTTGACTGAGGATATGATGAATACAGATCCTTAAAATGATTTCGCGGATACAAAACTGGGCATGCAGATAATAATATTATTTTGTGCAATTCAAGTAAATATTACACGATTTACATGACTTCACAGAGTAATGTGCTTACTGAATATCTTTTTCATTATAGTAAAGGGAGTCCAGATGAGGTGATTTTGAAACTGCAAAATGAAAGTATAAAGACAGAACATGAGATTGTGTTTACTTACATCATTTTCAATGAAGGACCATCCACACTTGAGAACAGCAGTATGTTTATTAGTTACCCCGAGCTACCAGGAGTGTTGGACATGAATGGATTGATGGTGAGTATAAAGTAATAATTATAAGAATATGTTCTACTCATGAAGCTGATTTTAACAGAATAAGTTGATATCCAAGAATGATATGAATAATGCGGGAAAGGAGTTAAGAAGGATAACTTTTTACAAAATTAACCAACATTTCTTTACAGACATACTTACTAATTGTTTTAAAGTATTAAACTTACATTTGAAAATTCAAGGTAGGTTTGTTTTGGTGAAACACGCTTAATATCGACAACGGTATTATTATTGTTACTATTATAAGTATGTTAATTTTGTTATTGTGTATCCTGTCGATACTTATATCATTAACAGATGGCCTATGACGTTATTACAATAAATCAGATGGAGGTGTACTGATTGAAATTTTAGTATGGAATCACAATGATTATACAATAGTTCAATTTGGGCTCAGAATCTGATTTAAGTAACAAACGATTTAACAGTTTGTTCTTTTGTTGTGTTGTTTACACCACCGTCTCAGGTTGGAAAGGGTTAAGCGCTGTTGAACCCTACCACGTAATTCATATGCCTGTCCCAAGTCAGTCATCTGTATTTCAGTGGTCTCCAGTGCATGGTTGCCGTTTTTTGCCATATTTGTTTTTCGCTCTTCGTTCATTGTTATAGCATAAATCAGGCCGTTGGTTTTCACTTTTGAATTTTCACAATTGTCATACCGATGACTTAAATAGCTTACAATAAGGTATGAAAATTGCCAGTTGTATAGAGATAGAAACTATATAATATTTTGAATGCACGAAAATAAAACAATTTTGGAGAGCATTTTCTAATTGATGGTATTTTTGTTTTTTGGAGTAAGAAAATTTTTAATAAAGACAGTGTAATTTTTGGCTTTTTGAATTCTGATAGCTTAGTTTGAAATTATTGTATTCTACAGGCAAAGTGTTACATTAACTATGTAAAGATCCCCTGATTAGACAGACTGTTAATATTTATGCAAGCTTTCATTACATTTTTGAAAAGATGTTTGGAAATTTTAGAATATTTATATTTTTCTGAAGACAAACACGAGTCATGTATCGACATATGGGGGGAATTTATGGAATTTATTTTGAATATGATGGTATATTTAATGAACGCCAAAGTATTCTTAAGATAGCATCATATACATGTACTTGGGTTCACATCGAAGACTTGTTAATCCTTAATATTTCTTAATCGCATAATAGTAATGTCATATATTTTATACACTTATGTCTTGGAACAATGTATGTATGCATTTTAGTTTGAAAACCAAAAAATTCAATAAAAAATAAAAAAAAAAAAAGGTATGAGAGTTGATCATTTTTGAAGGTTGTACCGTAACTTGTAACTGTTTACATCTTTGTTCTTTGTTCTTTGGTTTTTATTGCTATTTGTTAATCACCTTGGCAATAGTACCACATCTCCATATTTATACATTGTAGATTGAATCGAATCCAAAAGATTCTTCAAAGTACATGTGTACCCTGAAGATGAGAGGTGAAATCAGTAGTTCTTTGGTTGACAAGATAAATAAAGAGCAAAATATTCAGCTAGTAAGACAAATAAATATTGTATTGGAACTTTATATATGGTTGAATCAGCTCTGACTGATCTAACAAACACAAATCAATGCAAGTGCTAGCTTTGTGCTACTTAGATCATGATTTTGCGCTACCTTCAGAGCATGATTTTATGTTACTTTCAGGGCATGATTTTTTGCTACTTTTATATAACGATTTGTGCTACTTTCAAGACATGATTTTGTGCTACGTTCATTGCCTGATTTTGTGCTACTTTTATGACATAATCTTTTTACTACTTTTGAAGAATGATTTTGTGCTTCGTTCAATGCATGATACTTTGCTACCTCCAAAGCATGATTTTGTTCTACTTTCTATGCAAGTATTTGTGATACTTTCAAAGCATGATTTTGTGATACTTTAAAAATTATTTACTTCTTTTTCACAATTACCAAAGACTGACCAATGTTCTGGTTTGATACTATATTTTTTTTGCTGTTCGATGTAAAGTTGGTTAAATGATGCACCCTGCTGACTATCGCATTGTTTTTTGATTTTTCCTGTTCAGCTTATCAAATGTTAGTTTGATAATTTTATTTCCCGATGTTGTTCAATTATGTTTTAGGTCGATAACCTTTTCCTTTTCTTAGGTTATAAATATATCGATGCTGTAATATTGTTGATTTTTCTGAAGACAAACATGAGTCATGTATCGACATATGGGGGGGGGAATTTATGGAATTTATTTTGAATATGATGGTATATTTAATGAACGCCAAAGTATTCTTAAGATAGCATCATATACATGTACTTGGGTTCACATCGAAGACTTGTTAATCCTTAATATTTCTTAATCGCATAATAATAATGTCGTATATTTTATTCACTTATGTCTTGGAACAATGTATGTATGCACTTTAGTTTGAAAACCAAAAAATTCAATAAAAAATAAATAAAAGGTATGAGAGTTGATCATTTTTGAAGGTTGAACCGTAACTTGTAACTGTTTGCATCTTTGTTCTTTGGTTTTTATTGCTATTTGTTAATCACCTTGGCAATAGTACCACATCTCCATATTTATATATTGTAGATTGAATCGAATCCAAAAGATTCTTCAAAGTACATGTGTACCCTGAAGATGAGAGGTGAAATCAGTAGTACTTTGGTTGACAAGATAAATAAAGAGCAAAATATTCAGCTAGTAAGACAAATAAATATTGTATTGGAACTTTATTTATGATTGAGTCAGCTCTGACTGATCTAACAAACACAAGTCCATGCAAGTGCTAGCTTTGTGCTACTTAAGTCATGATTTTGTGCTTCCTTCAGAGCATGATTTTATGTTACTTTCAGAGCATGATTTTTTGCTACTTTTATATAACGATTTGTGCTACTTTCAAGACATGATTTTGTGCTACGTTCATTGCCTGATTTTGTGCTACTTTTATGACATAATCTGTTTTCTACTTTTGAAGAATGATTTTGTGCATCGTTCAATGCATGATACTTTGCTACCTTCAAAGCATGATTTTGTGCTACTTTCTATGCATGATTTTGTGATACTTTCAAAGCATGATTTTGTGATACTTTCAAAATTATTGAGGTTATTTATGCTAACAGAAGATTTACTTCTTTTTCACAATTACCAAATGCTGACCAATGTTCTGGTTTGATACTCTATTTTTTTGTTAAGTTGATTAAACGATGCACCCTGCTGATTATCACATTGTTTGTTTGATTTTTCCTGTTCAGCTTATTAAATGTTAGTTTGATAATTTTATTTCCCGATGTTATTCAATTATGTTTAGGTCGATAACATTTTCCTTTTCTTAGGTTATAAATATATCGATGCTGTGATATTGTTGATTCGATTTTAAACCAGTTGTGCCATTTTGTTTACATCTTGAATATTTCTAGTACCAAATTATTTTTTAGATTTGCAATGGTGTACACCCCTACTGTACAAATATTGTGTGTAAATTCCGAAACATTGGACCACGAACGTCAGTAACACTGAACATAAATATGCTACTTACTGTTCATGGTAATAAATTTCAGGTAATTATATTTTGAGATAGAGGTTCGTACTAATGAATTTTGTTAAAGGCGAATGGTCAGTTTGGTCAAAATAGCCCTTAAATATGATGTTCTTTATCAAACTCTTTCCATGCGCTAAATTTAGTGATTGCTTCCAAAATAGTTCTATACAATATTCATGTTTGTCGCATTGTTCAATTATTAGAAATAACCTGTAATTTTTGAAGCACGGGTAAAATGAAAACAGAAAAAATGAATTTTAGATAACATAATTAAAGTAAAGGGAAAGCCTTGATTTTGAAAATGATATTTTTCAATGGAAGTACCTGAAATTACTGGAAATTCACTGATTGGACTGAACATTTGAGGTAGTTAATTTTAAATTGAAAAAAAGCGTTCACGATTGATGTTTCTACTGTATGCCATTTATTCTATCCAATATGAGGATACATTTAGCAAGTTCGACATTCCTATTTTCTTCTTTAATACTCCTTGCACTATCGACATTTGACAATGTGTTCTCTTTGTACATCCTGCCATCTCCATAATGCAGGTGAACATTAAATTACTCTTGGCTCATGAGAATCGGGCCGAAAAAACTCACTGAACGGATGGGAGTAGGACGATACAACCCACATACTTACAGTTCTCATGACAGTGTATCTGTTTGATAGAATTTGCATATTTAATTTATTTCATAAATACAGTTTCCATCTGAGAATGATGTTTACTATATCAGAATATGTATTTACATTTTCATTACAATTTCATACTCAATGAGATACGCACTGTCTATTCATACCAGTTTTTAGTATGAATGTTTGTGAAGTCATATGATTACAAAATATTCTACTGTTGGGATAATTCCGCATTCAGGAGTGCATACGAAATGGTTTAGCAAAACATGGGCAGAAATGTTATGTCTGTAAAATTTTCAAATGCAAGAACAAACGATACAATCTTAACTATAGCTGACATTTTGCTATTCATTTGTTTCGTGCACTGTCCTCTGGAGTCCTTTTCACCTCACCTTACCGTCGAGTCATATTCGCATTTTCCTATCAATTGAAGCCTGTTTTCATCTTTTTACATTTTCACAAGTCTCCAACTATGAAGCAAATCGGCACACTAAAACCACAAAAGCTCGCTTGAATTGTCATTAGCAAGAGTTTTTTAATTATATAATTTTTGTCTCAACTAACATTTCTGTTATTACTTAATAAAGATCAACTGAGTAAAACAAACAAAATAGTTAAGATTTATTGACATCCCTTTTGATATTTAGCTGAATTTCTGTAGATGGTTGTGTGATAAACAGATTTCATGTGAATGTTGTGTCTGTAACCTTCCTTTTTACTGTTAACGTTTACCATGTAATAAGCAGCTATTTAAGGAAAAATAACAAAACATATGCGCATTGGATATATATACAGAAGTCGACTGAAGTCTCCCTAACTTATATACAGCCGATCACGGTGTAGCATATATTTACTAAAACATGTCACATGTATATCCAGAGGAAACTCTTTTATGCGCTAGTTGTTAACTATGTTCCTGATTATTTAGTGTTGAATGCAGATCTTCTGATTTTTTCTGTTTCTTCACATTTTCTTATGACTTGAGACCATTGAGTTTCTCAAATAAGTCAATAATTGAAGACCATTTTTTTAAATTTTTAGTCAGGAGGTTTTAAATTGTATGATGTGTTACTTAATATCAAGCACTTTCAGAATTAGCACAATAGAAATTAAGAAGCATTTTATTTTCAGATAAAGATATTATTCACTGTTTATTAAATATACCTAAATATTGCACTACTAGTAACCTAAGATACATTTAAGTGTAGTATTTAATCTACTTTTGTATTTATTTCATTAGCAACTTAGACATGTGAAACTTCAGTCGACTTCTGTGTACAGAAATAAAACGGAGGAAAAAGACTGGGATGAAATCATACTTTTCACAAAATCAAACCGAAAGTCAAAGGTAATTATATTTCAAAACATTGAATATTAGCCAAATGCAATGTGTATATAAATATGTAATGTACAAACCGATGACGTGTAGTCACATACTTCTTAGAGAAATTTGTTCACTGCCGTTTTATAGGCATTCAAATAAACCATAAGAAACCTGATAAATATAAAAATAAGAAGATGATGTATGATTGACAATAAGACAACTCTCCACTAGAGACAAAATGACGTAGAAGTTTACAATTATAGGTCAACGTTCGGCCTCCAACAATGAGCAAAACCCATTTTAGATCTGCTTTCAATAAATGTTTAACTCACATATTTCGTTGTTTTTACTGAAGCTTTAACAACTGCGTAGGAACTGATATCAAACCATTTATTTACAAAGCTGTCAAAAAGTTTTTGGACGTATTTGATAAACTACGTTCCTTTGAAGGCCAGTTTTGATTACTATACTCTGTATACTACACGTCAACAATTTTATCAATCAAAAATGTTTTTGTTCAATAATACTGTCTGTTGATTATATATGTTGTAGCGATTACAATTTTTGTTTCATAATATAACATATATATATATATATATATATAAGTCTGAAAATTACACCCAACAGTGTTTGAATTAGACTTTTATGCTGACAAATTTTTGTCCTTCAACGGGATTCGAACTCACACCTTTGATACACTACAGCACCAATCGCTTAGCCTCATGTCCAGCGCTCTAGACCACACGACCACATCCGCTATATAAAAATATAACTTCAATAGTCGTAGTGTTACCTTGTCACGTAAGGCGAATCTAGAGATAGACATAAGACATGTGTTTTAAGCGTGTGAAGATGTTATATTATTATTTAATACACAATGTATTTGTTATTTGTCAGCAATCTAACTCAACAATTTTTATATACCGTATGGGATAATGATTCAATTCATTATACAGTCACTAGAAATAAGTATATCATACAAACAAGTCTAAGCAAGTGACAACCATACAATATATATGCCCACTGGATCTCAGTGTGTTTGAGACACAGGGTTAATACAAATATTTATATAAGTCTGAAAATTACACCCAACAGTGTTTGAATTAGACTTTTATGCTGACAAATTTTTGTCCCTCAACGGGATTCGAACTCACACCTTTGATACACTACAGCACCAATCGCTTAGCCTCATGTCCAGCGCTCTAGACCACACGACCACATCCGCTATATAAAAATATAACTTCAATAGTCGTAGTGTTACCTTGTCACGTAAGGCGAATCTAGAGATAGACATAAGACATGTGTTTTAAGCGTGTGAAGATGTTATATTATTATTTAATACACAATGTATTTGTTATTTGTCAGCAATCTAACTCAACAATTTTTATATACCGTATGGGATAATGATTCAATTCATTATACAGTGCCTATAAATAGCAGCACATGACATACAAATCTATGGGAGTGTGGATTAATCAGTACAGAGATTAATTCAATTACACAAATAAAATTAAAGATTGCCTAACAATGTAATTTTAACACACTATTTAGTATGTAAATATAAGAATGTTTAAAATATTTACAAAATGATGAAAATAAACGCAATATTTCGCTAGACTAACTAGCTTTATCAAGCGTGCATCTATCCAGGTGAAATCGGATGTAGATGATAAGAAACTTTTGCAGCTCAATGTATATGTTGAACCTGAATTTAGCTGCCTTGAAAATAATACATAATTTGGATGAAGTTCAAGATTTTTACAAAATTTGTAGTTGAAGTTAGCAACGTCCATTGGCCAATATTACAGGATGAAAAGGACGATGCTGTGTACTAAATTATTCTTTATCTTTCCTGTATCTTTTCTCACCTTTTTCGTTAAGACCATCAGGTTCTAAAGTGTGGAGTTGGTGGATCCAAAAATTTTCTCTTCTCCTTCTCGCCGTGGTGTCCCACTCGGTGTTGACTTCTATGATTTGGAAAGTAACATTATCAAAAGAATGTTTCGTTGAACGAAGATGTCTTGTGAGAGGACAGTTTTTGTTGGTGTTGTACCATGAACGATGGTTATTGAGCCGAATATTAAATTTGTCCATTGTTTCTCCCACATACTGAATGCCACAAGTGTCACATGTTAATATATAAATTGAGTTCTCCGTTTTACAGTTGGAATTTGAGTAGATGGTATAATTTTGTTTAGTAACGGAGCTGATGAAAGAACTGCTTGAATTGGCAGCTTTACAACACAAGCAGTTCCTTCGACCACATTGTTTGTAGCAACCAGGAGATGGAGTATGCTGCTTTGCTAATACAGATGTCACTAATTTGTCACGGATGTTTTTTAACATGTGACACTTGTGGCATTCAGTATGTGGGAGAAACAATGGACAAATTTAATATTCGGCTCAATAACCATCGTTCATGGTACAACACCAACAAAAACTGTCCTCTCACAAGACATCTTCGTTCAACGAAACATTCTTTTGATAATGTTACTTTCCAAATCATAGAAGTCAACACCGAGTGGGACACCACGGCGAGAAGGAGAAGAGAAAATTTTTGGATCCACCAACTCCACACTTTAGAACCTGATGGTCTTAACGAAAAAGATGAGAAAAGATACAGGAAAGATAAAGAATAATTTAGTACACAGCATCGTCCTTTTCATCCTGTAATATTGGCCAATGGACGTTGCTAACTTCAACTACAAATTTTGTAAAAATCTTGAACTTCATCCAAATTATGTATTATTTTCAAGGCAGCTAAATTCAGGTTCAACATATACATTGAGCTGCAAAAGTTTCTTATCATCTACATCCGATTTCACCTGGATAGATGCACGCTTGATAAAGCTAGTTAGTCTAGCGAAATATTGCGTTTATTTTCATCATTTTGTAAATATTTTAAACATTCTTATATTTACATACTAAATAGTGTGTTAAAATTACATTGTTAGGCAATCTATATATATATATATATATATATATATATATGCGCTGGACACCGTGCAGGTGGAGTTGCCACCATGTCACAGAAGCAAGGGTACAAATCCCGCTGAGGGAAGAACGAAAATTTGCGTACGCAAATTTACAGAACTAACCTTGTTGAACTAAATTTGAGACGAATTACATATATATAGATTATGGTGTTAGCCCTGTTTAACTACTGGTTATCCGATGGAGAATGTCTGTCATAAAGTTGCAACATGTTTAGACGTATATCTTTTGGAAAATGTTGTTTGTGCTGTATTTAGACCCCCTACCAAGAAATTTGTTTTGCATGCACATGTATAAAAATTGTGGTTTTTATCCAACGCAATCATAGGTTTGAACGTTGTTTTCAATTTAAGATTTGTTTATATTTTTTCGTTTGGGCTTGTATTATATTTGCCTTCGGGTTTATATGATCCGTTCATTCTATTTTGACTCTTTCAAAATTCAAGAGTCTATCCTAAAGAAATTGAGGTAAATTATATGGCCTTCCAAATACCGTTTCGATTTCTAACATCACTAAAAGAGACATTAATTGTCGAAATCCGGATATGGTGTACAAATTTTTGCACCTCATGTTTGCGGTATACCATCTTTTCCGCAAGTTTATTGTTTTCTGTTTGGTAATAAATTGATAATAAGATCTATTTTGTTACATCTTGTGATACGTTTATTTGGCAATCGCCAATGGCAGTCAGCAGGGTTTAAGAACATCAGTTGTTCGACCTGCTAGTCAAATGCGTTTTGTTAAAATATACTTTTTCACTCATTTGGTCTTTTGGAAAATGTTGTTTGTGCTGTATTTAGACCCCTCTACCAAGAAATTTGTTTTGCATGCACATGTATAAAAAATGCGGTTTTTATCCAACGCAATCATATGCTTGAACGTTGTTTTCAATTTAGACTTGTTTATATTTTTCGTTTGGGCTTGTATTATATTTGCCTTCGGGTTTATATGATCCGTTCATCCTATTTTGACTCTTTCAAAATTCAAGAGTCTATCCTTAATTGAGGTAAATTATATGGCCTTCAAAATACCGTTTCGATTTCTAACATCACTAAAGAGACATTAATTGTCGAAATCCGGATATGGTGTACAAATTTTTGCACCTCATGTTTGCGGTATACCATCTTTTCCGCAAGTTTATTGTTTTCTGTTTGGTAATAAATTGATAATAAGATCTATTTTGTTACATCTTGTGATACGTTTATTTGGCAATCGCCAATGGCAGTCAGCAGGGTTTAAGAACATCAGTTGTTCGACCTGCTAGTCAAATGCGTTTTGTTAAAATATACTTTTTCACTCATTTGGTCTTTTGGAAAATGTTGTTTGTGCTGTATTTAGACCCCTCTACCAAGAAATTTGTTTTGCATGCACATGTATAAAAATTGCGGTTTTTATCCAACGCAATCATAGGATTGAACGTTGTTTTCAATTTAGACTTGTTTATACTAGTATATTAGATATATATATATTTAATTCGTGTCAAATTCAGCCCAACAATGTTAGATCTTTAAATTTGCGTTAGCAGATTTTAGTTCTTCAGGAACAAAATATATATATTATGTATTATGAAAACTATCCTCCCCTTTTTTCTTTTTCTTTTCCAATGGGGGATAGCGCCAGGAGGGTACTGACACTTGAATCGTCAAAGTATGATATGTCCAAACAATATCATATATATAATGCAGTAACAATGTACCGAAAAAGTTAGAAATACTTTTTTAAAAAATCTAATAACTACATTATTGCTAAAATAGCCTAACATAGGGTTTTATCGTAAAAGTACATTGCAACCTCATAAGAGTAGCATAGTGTTATAATTGAAGTTCATATATATCAATTGTTTCGTTTTCCTTTGATTGAACACAGTGTTGTCTCTTTTAGAGATAATATTAACTGTCAATTTAGTGGTATTTCAATTAGGAATCATTAGGACCACCTCATTCATTGCTGATTTTAGTTCTTCAGGAACAAAATATATATATTATGTATTATGAAAACTATCCTCCCCTTTTTTCTTTTTCTTTTCCAATGGGGGATAGCGCCAGGAGGGTACTGACACTTGAATCGTCAAAGTATGATATGTCCAAACAATATCATATATATAATGCAGTAACAATGTACCGAAAAAGTTAGAAATACTTTTTTAAAAAATCTAATAACTACATTATTGCTAAAATAGCCTAACATAGGGTTTTATCGTAAAAGTACATTGCAACCTCATAAGAGTAGCATAGTGTTATAATTGAAGTTCATATATATCAATTGTTTCGTTTTCCTTTGATTGAACACAGTGTTGTCTCTTTTAGAGATAATATTAACTGTCAATTTAGTGGTATTTCAATTAGGAATCATTAGGACCACCTCATTCATTGCTGATTTTAGTTCTTCAGGAACAAAATATATATATTATGTATTATGAAAACTATCCTCCCCTTTTTTCTTTTTCTTTTCCAATGGGGGATAGCGCCAGGAGGGTACTGACACTTGAATCGTCAAAGTATGATATGTCCAAACAATATCATATATATAATGCAGTAACAATGTACCGAAAAAGTTAGAAATACTTTTTTAAAAAATCTAATAACTACATTATTGCTAAAATAGCCTAACATAGGGTTTTATCGTAAAAGTACATTGCAACCTCATAAGAGTAGCATAGTGTTATAATTGAAGTTCATATATATCAATTGTTTCGTTTTCCTTTGATTGAACACAGTGTTGTCTCTTTTAGAGATAATATTAACTGTCAATTTAGTGGTATTTCAATTAGGAATCATTAGGACCACCTCATTCATTGCTGATTTTAGTTCTTCAGGAACAAAATATATATATTATGTATTATGAAAACTATCCTCCCCTTTTTTCTTTTTCTTTTCCAATGGGGGATAGCGCCAGGAGGGTACTGACACTTGAATCGTCAAAGTATGATATGTCCAAACAATATCATATATATAATGCAGTAACAATGTACCGAAAAAGTTAGAAATACTTTTTTAAAAAATCTAATAACTACATTATTGCTAAAATAGCCTAACATAGGGTTTTATCGTAAAAGTACATTGCAACCTCATAAGAGTAGCATAGTGTTATAATTGAAGTTCATATATATCAATTGTTTCGTTTTCCTTTGATTGAACACAGTGTTGTCTCTTTTAGAGATAATATTAACTGTCAATTTAGTGGTATTTCAATTAGGAATCATTAGGACCACCTCATTCATTGCAGATTTTTACCTTTATTGTTAGGAATCTGATGAAGGTAAATCAAGAAAAGCGCTTCGGACGCATGAAATTATTAAACGTGTTGTTTTAAATTTTTTAAGGCGAAACCTACAAAAACCCAACAAACCACCATTTTTAGACATTGTTAACAAAAAAGCAGTTATTCTGACGGCATATTCTTTCTCAATGATCCAGCAGATGAGACCGTGTTCTAAATTTACGAATTGCATTTATTCACCTTAACTTACTCTTACCAAATCACACATTCGTAGTACTATTTGTCCTTTCTAGACCTTGATATAAACAGTTATCATTGTTATTTTCCTTTTCTAGTTTTGTCTTTAAATGATCGTGATGTTTCGGTGGTTCCTCCGTATAGAATTTACATATTGTTATTATTAAATTTTTTTTACAGCAGATATATAGATAAATAGGTCAAATTGTACTAAATTTGATCAACATGTTAAAAAGTTTATCAAATTCTCTTATAAAAATATTAATTGTCATTAAACAGTCTTTTTGGCTTAGTTAACTTATTGATTGATAATTTTGTTTTTATTTAACTGTTGTTGATCAACCACATATTGTGTGTTTTATGTTTGTTAATGAAACATATAGTTTTGAAGCAAGACAAATTTAAGATTCTTTGCACATTTAATTTGGGCATTGCAAAAAATCATGTCGTCCTGTTCTGGTTATGAAACTGCTGCATGAAATCTAGCCCAAAGGACCACTACCGACATAAAAGTGTAAGACAATACGACTTGATAAATTTGAGGTTGCTTCAGTAACTGCGACTTTTTTTATCATGATTGTTTTGCTTGTTTTTGAATTCTACCGTTATTGAAGAGTTAAGAGATATTCCTGATTTATGTCCTTGAATTATATGATGTTTTACGTACGTTTTTCATATTGCTTCTAGTCGAAATAAGAAGAAGAAGGTTTGAGATATAAATACCAGTTTTACTCAGCCACATGTTAGCTTACCTGTCCCAAGTCTAGAAACTTGACAGTTGATGTTTGTTTTTTGTAGAATATTTATTTATCTTTTTTATTTTTTAATAGGTTATAATAGATGTTTTTAACGTTGATATGAATTATGAAGAAGTTAGAGATATGCAAATGTGGATTATTATTGTCAGTGGTGCTGGTGGCATTGTTGTCTTTTTGATAATTAGTCTATTCATGTTTAAGGTAAATGATATTTGATAGCATTTATATGAACGCAAATCGTTTAGTGAAACTTATATATGTATAACTAGATAACCCTGTCCATCCCATTCAGTTCAGTAATACTGAATCAAGATGTTTAACAAGCTATTGATTTAGTCTTGAGTACATTGTGTGTTGTAGTACATTTTGGAAATAAATATTATTCCTACTCTATATGCAATCTGTTCATGATGCCATTCCTTTACCAAGCGTTCTCCAAAAAAAAAATTGCAAGAGTCTACTTTCAAAATACTGTGATTGATTGCTCTGTTATACTGAGTGGTAATTTGGCAAATCCTGTTAATTCTGTTATTACTGAATATGTTCAATTTGATAAATGTGTGACTGCGTGATAGTCAAGCTTGGTGCATTTTTGATTAATAGGGAATTTTGTATATTGGCAACAACTCCATAAACAAAATGTTTCAATCAGTCACAACAATGGTAATAAACTTAATTTTGTCACCACTGTTTTCTTATTTTCTGTATACTTCTATTAATAATTGATGATAATTCAATAGTTGGAATTCAATATCAATAGAATTATAAGAAATTAAATTATTTTACTTGGTTTCAGGGGTTGTCAATATTAATCTGCACCTCCCAAAAATATAATATAATTAGCAGAATAAATTTGCTCCATGCATATATTGCTTAATTAGACGAACTGAAAAAAAACACGCATTGGACCGATATTCGTGTGCACGACCCGTGTGTCTGGAATAACCTCTTTATCACGTACGATCGAGAAAAAACAATTGAAAGCAAAAACAATTAAAACGTTTGAGATGATAAATCGGAAAGGCCTTATCAGAACAGCCAAAATGAGTAACATCACAAAATGATTGTACGCTCTGTCATGTTTTTTTGGGATGCCAAACAATATGAAATGCTTGAGAAATACTAGAGAGATGACTTAAAAGAAATGCCAAAATGGCCGAAGATAAACTTATTTAAGAATTGAAAATCTTAAGAAAAATTTAATCATAACTCATGCCAGTACCAACCATTGTGAAATGATCAGGACTGATAGTCTACAGGCAGCGGTACCGATACAGTGGTAGTACAAAAACGTTTGAACGTATGACTTAGAATGACTAGTGATGATTAATGAAACGGCTTATGACAGGAAAGCCTACCATTGAAAAAAGTCATAAACGGACATCGAAAAAGCTTATTGTATCTTTTTTTTCAATTCAATTTAGCATAAAAATGAGGAAATCTGATATGACAACAATAAATCAAAGGACCAACAATAAGTTAACCAAATAAAATGTAATAAGGTACTTTTAAGCAGGTGCTACCTGACGAGCTCCCGACGGTTATTGATGAATATCTGTTTTACTTATCATCATACTGCAATCAGATATATAAATTTGTTGGAAATCGTATGCTCGTAAGATACATTTTTGCTGCATGTCGTATACTCCTTAAGATGTCTTAGGAAAAATCTCTAAAAGAACGGTAACATTTTTGCATTCTCACACAAGATTGTGTGACAGGACATTTATTTGAAGCCATGTTGTTAAAAAAAATTTCTGGAGATAGAGGTATGGTCCAAATGGACAACTTTACCATTTTATGCTCCTTTCGGGTCCGGATCAAAAAGGCAAAGCAATCCAACAGAAAAGCGGCCATATTTAAGTATGAATATATTTAAAGTAGATCTTTAAAACGAATGACTGCTAAGATCTTAAACATCAGAAACAATGTCTTTCAAGCCTCCTTAGAGAAAAAGATATTATGATTTCTCTCTGCATACATAACATTCTTGTCTATATTTCAGGTTGGATTTTTCCGACGACTAGACAACGAAGATTTACAACTAAGAAAGGCTAATTGGAAACTTAGAATAGCTGAGGCTAATCAAGATCAAGACATTAACAGGACTAGACAACACTTCCACAGAAGAAATAGACACACTATTAACAATGCCTGTTTCTCATCGAATGTTGACGACGACGAAACACATGTGCTCATTCCATATTCAAATGATTCTATAACAGGCCCTTCTGATGAAGACATTTCTAGCATCTCCTCTGATATGTCAGAGGAGTCAGGATACTTGGAGCCAATCAAAACTAGAAAACAAAGAGTTTTTGTGAAGTGAAATTTGTTAAAGATACCACCCATTATACAATGTGTTCATGAAATGTCAACTGCCCCAAAAAAGAAGATAAACTTATGATTGTGTGCAATTCTTTTCAAATGCATTTTAATGTGAAGTTGCCAATGTGGCTTTATGTTGTATATGACAACAATCTATTCTGCATGCAGTTTATACAGTAACAAAATAACGTTTATTGCAAAGATGGAATATGAAATATATATGGGGCGTTTTTAGCTACGAGAGACTACACAATGAAAATCTAAAGTTTTTGAATGCACGTCTTATGAACAGTTAACGCAAATGCATACTTTTAAAACCAAACAAAATTATGAAAAATACCTAACTCTGAAATATAGAAAATAAAGAAAAATTATGATTATGCAAACCTTTGGTGTACATTTCCAGCTAATTTAAGAATAAGCAAAATAAAAACACTTCATATAAGAAGAACTGATATCTTTTGCTGCAGTTACATTAACATTATATGATAAGAAATACATTTATAAAATATTGTCAATGAAGGGTAAAATGAAATATTATTATCACGGAATGAAAAAGAAAACATGCATTTCCGTAGTTGTACACAATTCTTGTACAAATATAAAAAAGAAATACTAAAGAACTTGCAAATGAAGTATAAACCGTTCTGAAATTGCTCCCAAGTTGTTTGGCGCGGACTTCGAAGAGGACATCAAAAATAAATATCACGTGAACACTGCTGCACATGTATGAAAAACTTAAAAACACTGTAAGTATAATATAAAGAATACTTTTTTTTGCGAGCTACTTGGGAAAACTATCAAAATTTACACCATACCCAAGCACATACGTCAAGATATTAAATACAATTTTCTATCAGAATGCCTAAGTATCGGGCGTAATATGCTTTGGATAGGCGATTGAACATTGTATTATCGCCCGTTTAACAGAAAAAAATCTCAATTAACAAACTTGAATGAAATCATTACATATGCATAATATAGATGTTAGATAGGTGAGATACTTAAAGTATTGTCATGACACTTTTTCTGAGTATCTCTATTAAATTAATATTTTTACCTGATATTACGTTTGTGTTTATACAAATGCATTGTTTTGTACTAGGAAGTCTACGATCGAGTTTGCATGGTAGCATTTTTAAGGTTCAAGTGCGTCAGTCATTAAAAAAAATGTTGGTTATATCATAATTATTAATGCAGCAAACATAAACAAATGATTAAAAAAAATAATAATGATACAAGATAAATCAGGTTTTTTTTTTAAATTTTCAATAAATATAGTAATATCATGATATTAGTGTATAGTTTATGTATTTTCATTGTATTCAGAATTCCTAATGTACTAATATCCTCCTAAGTGTCAGATGGTCTATCAAATGAGTCATACATTAAATGGTTCAATAGTTGGAAGGTTCTAGACTTTCAAAATATGTAACATACTATGTGAACAATGATAAATTACTTAACAGTCATAACATTGAGGTATATGACGCTCAGGTATGACGAAGCGAAAAAATAATTTCATACTGAATGCTTTTATTATTCTTAGTTTCATACTTATCGTCTGAATACAAAGATACAACAAAACTTGGCACGTAATGAAACAATTTAAAAAAAAAAACGGAAATATTAATGTTGATAAAATGTCCCCACAAATGTGCCTCATTTAATTTACAGGTAAGGTAACAGATGTTTGTTTTGATACTAAAAATAAAGCGATTACGTCGACATTTAGGACGTAAACATAAAACCACGTGAGTCATTTGTGTGTATACAAATACAGCTGTCCTGGGCAGTATTATTCAGAACCCGAAGGCTTGTCAAAATAAGAAGATGTCGAACATTTTTATAGCAGAGTACTGTGATGAGAGTGATTTGTACAGCATAGATCAACATAAATTCATCCATGTTGGGCATAGCGGAAAAGGACGGAGCAAACGTGAGGCCCGACAACATACTAATGGATATGATCCAAATGGACATACTCGTAAGATAGTACAGAAACTGGTAAATCGTAAAATGAAACTTACACAAGACCGTTGAAGATCCTAATGGTATGTTTCTTTCTATTGTCACAGTCTACATTAATAGTAATATTTTAAAAGAATTGCTTAATTGTTCCCCAATTGGTCTTTATTTCAGTTTTTTGTCAAAATTTAATCATATTTCATTAAACACGATTTTGAGCTTGATACAAGTGATATACACTTTTTTTTATTGGTGCCTTTAATTGTTTGTTAAAAGACTGCAAATCGCAAGAACCTATTTTCTTGGTAAATCAAAACAAATTATACTATTAAATGTTTTGAATTCATTGTTGATTATATACATTATGTGTAATTTATTTCTGTATAAGGAAACCAATATTCCATAAAATTGAATTATTTTAGAAGAACTTGCAGCTAAAAATAAAGTAGCACGTTAAAGAAACTAAATTTGATACAGATATTCTCATGATGAAACAGTAGTAAGGAGACGACTATTTGATGTTCTGTGGAAAAAGGGGGAGGGGGAAAAGGGGGGGGGGCTGGATTGGAAACCGGAGGTTTTTTGGCGTTTTGACTTCATTTTCATCTATTGCTAGGCATGCTTACTTTTTTCCTCGACTTTCCTGTGCGAAAATTTATTTTCTTCATTGTACATAACTGTTTCCTGCATTTTGTGTCACAGAAAATTTATTTTCATCCTATCTAAAGAAAGGTTATTTAAATTTCATATCTTACCAGGATATTAATTTTCAAAATCCTCCTTCCCTAGAAAATCAAATGATTGTCCCTTTAGTCCGAATATTTACATAAAAAAATGTCTGGCACGTTTATTTTTATTTATTCAGGTTTATTTCCATATCATATGCAAATTTCAAACTAGAAAACGACTACACCCTTGTCGTCTGTTTGATTGGCAGCTACACCGTAAAAGGCCTAAATATTGTCGATGTTACGCTATATCCGAGGCTGTACACGGACGAGTTATTATCGTTACTTTTTTTACGATAAGTTACATTGAATATTTATATTTTAGCAAAACGCTGTACTACGACACTACGGACACAGGAAAGAAAAACGACGTAAATGGACATGGATGAAAGTGGATAGTTTTAACGAAAATTGGAATCAGTGAGACAATCGATCGAAAACATTTTAACAGTTAAAATGATTACTAAGTCTTATTAAAAAGAACAGTTTTGCAGAATTTTAGTTGTTTTATTGCTATAACACAGTTACATGAATAATCACAAATGATTTTCACGTAATTAGAAATTGGAAAATAAATCGTTCTTGTTAATCTAAAAACACAAACTTCAAACTTTGTAGAAATGCAGATATTTCCTTTGACACCACAAAAAAATGAAAGCAGGATTAAACAAATTCAATTTTTTGTTAACAGGGAGTAAATTGAACCCTTATATATGATAAAGGCTCCTCCCACTCTGTCGTTTACACACACATTGCCTGTATACATATTGTTGAATTGTTGAAATGTCCACATTATATTTGATAAAGCGAAATAAATGCAATAATCTCGATAGGAAAGTAAGCGTACGTTTCGAAAATACAAGTTACTACTTGCAGTTAATTGTTTTGGTTAGTTTTTATCGTTGGCCAATGATTGCTAGTTCGGTTTGATGTTAAGGAGAGTTGAAAAAAGTTTTATGTGCAATATTTTCAAGAAATTAACGAATATAGATGACTGTAAACGAATGTATGACAAACGCAATCTTTTAATGGTCATGTTAATTAAAGCGACAGTAATTTACCGATTTTTAAATCTCTTAAATCCATGGGGATGAGACAAACCAAGGGAGCAAACAGAACTTAGGAATCGCATGAACTTCAAAATGAGCGAGAACTGGTGCGTCGACACAGTAGGGGCATCACCCAGCTTGTGAGTTTACACTCAGTCAAACAGTCATAATCAGGAAAGGGTAACAATCGTTAAAATTACAGATCAAAACCCTATACGGGTATCCAATACCTGAGTCAGAGTAGTAATACCCCATCCGCCCTTGTCTTAACAAATTAAGATACATTATACTTGATTTGAAGCTTTTTCAATCAACAAAATCAACACTGTAAAATGTGCAGTTCTAATTTAGAGAGCCCTCGTATTTTGAGCTCACCATTCCGAAGGAACTGTGAGCTTTAGCCATCACTTGGCGTCCGTCGTCGTCCGTCGTCGTCTGTCGTCGTCGTCGTCCGTCTGGTGTAAACTATTTCAAACATCTTCTCTGAAACCACTGAACCAATTCCAACCAAACTTAAGCTGAATGATCCTTAGGGTATCTAGAATAAACTTTGTGTTTTATTTTCTGTTTCGTAAAAAAACATGGCCGCCATGGCTAAAAATAGAACATAGGGGTAAAATGCAGTTTTTGGCTTATATCTCAAAAACCAAAGCAGTTAGAGCAAATCTGACATGGGTAAAAAGTGTTCATAAGGTAAAGTTCTATAAGCCCTGAAATTTTCAGATGAATCTAATAACCCATTGTTGGGTTGCTGCCACTAAATTAGTAATTTTAAGGAAATTTTGGAGTTTTTGGTTATCTTAAATAGTATTAATGATAAAGATAAACGGAAAACAGCAAATATGTTCAGCAATGTAAGATCTACAAATAAGTTTATATGACCAAAATTGTCAATTGACCCCTTAAGGAGTTATTGCCCTTTAAGGACAATTTTACACAATTTGTTTATCATGTTTTCTAACTTTAAAAAATCTTCTCCTCTGAAACCACTGAACCAATTCCAACCAAACTTAAGCTGAATGATTCGTAGGGTATCTAGAATAAAATTTGTGTTTTATTTTCTGTTTCGTCAAAAAACATGGCCATCATGGCTCAAAATAGAACATAGGGGTAAAATGCAGTTTTTTGCTTATATCTAAAAAACCAAAGGAGTAAGAACAAATCTGACATGGGGTTAAAGTGTTCATTAGGTGAAGTTCGATCAGCACTGAAATTTTCAGATGAATCTAAGAACACATTGTTGGGTTGCTGCCACTAAATTGGTAATTTTATGGAAATTTTGCAGTTTTTGGTTATTATCTTGAATAGTAGTAATGATAAAGATAAACTGTAAACAGCAAATATGTTCAGCAAAGTAAGATATACAAATAAGTTTTATATGACCAAAATTGTCAATTGACCCCTTAAGGAGTATTGCCCTTTGAGGACAATTTTACACAATTTGTTTATCATGTTTTCTAACTTTAAAAAATCTTCTCCTCTGAAACTACTGAACCAATTCCAAATAAACTTAAGCTGAATGATCCTTGGGGTATCTAGAATAAAGATTGTGTTTTATTTTCTGTTTCGTCAAAAAACATGGCCGCCATGGCTAAAATTTAACATAGGGGTAAAATGCAGTTTTTGGCTAATATATCCAAACATTTAAGCAATTAGAGCAAATCTGATGAGAGATTAAAATGTTTATTAGGCCAAGTTCCGGCAGCCAGTAAATTTTCAGACGAATCTAACAGTCCATTGTTGGGTTGCTGCCACTAAATTGGTAATTTTAAGGAATTTTGCAGTTTTTGGTTATTATCTTGAATATAATTAATGATAAAGATAAATTGTGACAGCAAAAATGTTCAGCAAAGTAAGATCTACAAATAAGTTAATATGACCAAAATTGTCAAATGTGTCCTTAAGGAGTTATTGCACTTTAAAGACAATTTTTCACAATTTGTTCATCTAGTTTGCTTACTTTAAAAAATCTTCTCCTTTGAAACTGCTGAATCAATTTCAGCCACACTTGGGCTGAATGAGTTTCAGAGTATCTTGTATAAATTTTTGTATTTTATTTTCTTGTACGTCAAGAAACATATCCACTATGGCTAAAATGGAACATAGGGGTAAAATGTATTTCTTTGCTTTTGAAGAAAATATGACAGATACAAAGAACATCTCAATTGAATTTTTAAGCCACTAATTAATATATATTAAAAAGTAAAAATAATCATTGATGAAAGATTTAAGCAAAAAATTACAGGTGAGCGATTCAGGCTCTTGAGAGCCTCTTATTTATTAGTACTTATTACCAAGTTCAACTTGTCAACGAATTTGTACTACTCATTAGCAAAAGAGAGGGGAAAGATACCAAAGGGATATTCAAACTCGTAAGTCGAAATCAAACTGAAAATGCCATGGCAAAAAAACAATAATTGCTAATAGTAGAATAGACGCTACCATTATTTTGCGTCCATCGGCGTCCGTCGTCGTCCTTCATTCGTTAACTTTTTACAAAGATCATCTCTGAAACTACTAGGCCAAATTTAACAAAACTTGCCCTCACTGCCTATGGATTTTACTAACCCTCTATAGATTCTTTGTTGGTCAGTTGCAAACCATACAACTTAAAATTAGGGATTGTGATAATTATAATACACGCACATTGTATAACAGGTTAGAATGGAGAGTAAGATAGCTGTTAAAATAAGACAATCTTACTTTAATACTTAATAGTATTCATATCTATCAATACATTGTTAACTGATTGATTTGTGTTTGCTTTACGTTATCTATCTGTCAAATAATTCAACCATATCTATACATCAGAGGCGAATCCTCGTTTCCCGTCTCATTTGGTCGAAAATTTGTCTTTTTAGTACATTTTTCTGAATTTTGAACGCTGTCACCCTTTTAAAGGTTTTTGTTCAACCAATGCTATGAGAGAAGTTTTTATTAAGTGCTAATATAGACATGAACGCCAAAACTAGACAATTTTTTCAACGTCTGATAATCCGTTAAAAATTTCATTACAAATAGAGGTAAATGGGACTGGATGCTGGATGATAAAATACAACTGAATAGAAAAAAGTAAAATCACAAAAATACTGAACTCCGAGGAAAATTCAATCGGAAAGTCCCTAATCACATGGCAAAATCAAATGACAAAACACATCAAACGAATGGACAACAACTGTCATATTCCTGACTTGGTACAGGCATTTTCAAATGTAGAAAATGGTGGATTGAACCTGGTTTTATAGCGCTAAACCTCTCACTTGTACGACAGTCTTATCAAATTTCGTTATATTTACAACGATGCGTGAACAAAACAGACATTATAAATAAAATAGTCAAAATATGGGTACAGCAGTCATCACTGTGTTACAATATCAAAACAAACAATTATTTACAAAAAAAGCACAAAAGCATCTATCAAATTAAGACCCACATTCATTGCTTCGCGTGTCTGACGTCAGAAAATGTAAACGTCACATAAGAAAAAAGTTTGTCATTCAATGTCTATTCAAAACAATTTTATAATTTCACATGGGGAATGTTGGTATACAGGGTTAAAAAATCAAAAGTTATGTTAGAATTAATTTCAGAAATAGACCGAGATTTATAATTGTCCAGAAGTTCTTCAGAACCCTTAAGAATCCACATATGGTAAATACCACTACGCGAGTAAAATAAATTTGTCGTTTGTCGTTCAAAGTATTTTCAAATTTATAATAGAACAATAACATAATGACATATAATAGAACAATAACATAATGACGGGATCTTTTAAAGTACAGAGTCACGTTAAAAGAACCACAGAAACACAAAAAGTCGCATATACAAAACACACCAGTAAAAATTAAAGATAATACAAACACATTGACGGGATGTATAAGTACCTAGCCACGTCATATGGATATCACAGAAAACAAACCAAACAGTAAAAGTAATATTAATAATAGAACAAAGACAAATGAAAGAACAATATTACACGTTGTTAAGTGTATGAACTACATTAGAGATCAATAATATTATGTACAAAATAGGCATGAAAATAAGAGCGTATTAGTCAGTTTTCAAGCAGAATATATTCTCATTTTGATTTTCCGGTAGACGTGAACATCATTTAGTTTGTGTATTGACAGCTTTCTTAGCTAGTAACATAAACATATCTCATAGCAGTTACGGATCTCGAATTTTCCAACAAAAAAGGAACAACGTTGGGGGCATCCTGTGATTTACTTTCAGGTCCCCTCAAATTCGATGGCAATCACGGATGCTCTCTTGTGTAAAACATTTTTTTTTAAAAGAACCCCTTAATTTGTGTTATTTTTCTTATTAAAATGTTAATAAAATTGTCATTTATTAGATACAAACAAAATATAACGCCACCTCATTTTCTTTTTCATATTTTATATTTTGAGGGTCATTTAAATGAAAATAACACCATTAACTTGTGCGT